GTTTTTATACAATCTTCATTTTCTACGTAATTTATCAAACCTTGATAGAATTTGGTACGTAATTTCAAAATTCTCGAGGGGCCCTCCACCTAGCTCCGCCCCTGAACCAAACCCAAATTATTACTTGACTTGATTCAAGTTTAGTACTACCTTGATAATTCACTAGTCCTTGTATGTTGGGAGTTTGCATTTTGCTCTCTATCCAAATCCATTATGTCTCAAATGATTAATACATTATAAAAACCAAAATTGATGATCTTACTTGTCTGCAAATTTAATTGAAAGATTAGAAATAGACAAGCGCACATCATCCCAATGTATTCGTCAAAAATCATGGTACAGAGACATGGTTGTCAAAATGATATAAGCTTAGTTTGGTCCTGCGGTGGCTTTTGCTGAAACAGTTTCTGATTGGTATTTTTTTAGATAAGTATTTAAAAAAAACAGTTGAGTGTTTGGTCATAAAACTATTAGAAGTGCTTTTTAATATGAGAAATTGTGTAAAATGACTATAAATGACTTATAATATAAAATATGAATAAAAATTCTAAACAATAAAAAGTAGCCAAAATGTATCTTGTTATATTTATTTTATATTAAATAATATGATTTTATAATTTATTTTATTTTTAAAATGATATAAATGAAGGAAAATTATATTTTCTGAAATAAAATTAAAATATGATAAGGATAATCTTGTATTTTCAAAACAGCTTTTTGCAGAAGTTCCAAATCGGAGCTTCTGCTTTTATGTTATACAAAAGCGTTTTTCGGCTTTTCAAAAGCCGAGCTTTTAAAGGTGTTTGGCCCTGCTTCAGTTTTTGAAACCGAAAAGCACTTTTAAAAACCGGGCGAAACATAGGCATAATATTAGGGACCACTAACGCTTTTTAGTATGTAAAAACTTCACTCTCCATTTCTGCAGAAACTTCCCCATTGAGCTGCCATAGAGAAATTTCCATCTGTTGTCAGATCACATGAATGTTGTCCTTCATTGCCGTTTACAGGACAAACTCTGCCAAATGCCAACAAACTTGCAGCAAACAAATAATAACAACAATCATTACAATAATAGTATTAATGCAACATTCCACAGATGAGTGATATACTGATCGATACTCAACAAATGACACACATGGCAGGACCATGATGAACATAATCAATGGAGATCCTAATCCAAAATTTTATCTGATCTTACAGTAACTAACTAGGCTAGCAGACCTAAACCAACTTCCATAATAAGATCTCCAACCCAAAGATCACGCCTTTCCTTTTTATTCCTTAAACACTAATGTCTATCCATCCATCCCACACCTCCAAAGTTCCAATTCCAATCCAAAAGATCAGATCTGCCCACGTTCACAAAATATCAGCTGCAAAGTTGCAGTCAAATACAGGCCACTTACCTACCAATCTGCAGGTGAAAGAACAAGCCTTTTTTTTTTATATAGCTTTCAATGGTGGTTGTTTTCTTCATCCCTTCTGTTTCTCCAATCCCAATCTAACCCTCATTTCTTCTTTTTTTATTTCTGAAGTTGATTTCATCCCCATTCCAATCCCACAAGGTCCAAAACAGCGTTAGGGAGATCAATGTCCATATTGCAGCAAACTGGTGGGGCAGAAACAGCACTAGAAAGCAGCTAGCTCTACTGTGGTTCACAACATCTCAGAAATCTAACACCAAGAAACCCATCCTCTTAATCCAAGCCACATAAAGCAAAAAGAAAGGTGACAGTAATGGCACAATTTTGCTGCATATTCCTTTCTCAGCCTCAATTCTTTCTTTCTACTTCTTGTTAACCCACTTTTTCTCCCTCCCAATCAATATCACCTTTAATTTTGCCTTACAACTTTAATACATATTGATCAATCTAATGCTCTATCCCTAGAATCTTCCACTACCCAAAAGTTCTTATTTTTTAAAAGGTTGAGATGAAAAAAGCTACTGCCTTTATCAAGAACACAAGAAGCAGCAGCTAGCAGTTGTATGTTTGCACTGTTCCTTAGTGGAGAGTCATCAACCCTTTTTTCTTTCCCAGTTCAGAGATTTTGCCTATAAAAGGGGGAACCCCCTTCAAGACCCAAGTGGCAAAACACAAAAGCACTACACTTCTCTTCACTATTCTAATCATCTCTCTTTCTCTTTCTTTCACCAAAAAAAACCCTACTCCTGTTCCCAGAAGCTTGCAACCATGGTTAGTATCAACAACTTGTCAATACTGTTTAATATTAACAACTTGTTGGAGATCATTTTCTCATGTTGGTTACTGTGCACTAAACTTTTTCATAGGATGGGAAGATGAGTTGGACAGTAGCAGATGCTGTGGATTACAAAGGTTTCCCTGCTGACAAGTCAAAAACTGGTGGTTGGGTTCCTGCTGCACTCATCCTAGGTTTGCTTCTCCTTCAAAAAAAATCTCCTTCCGTTTCTGGTTTCTGGCTTCATTGTTCACGTCATGCTTCTGAAATCCATGTTTAGGGAGTTCATAGCTATCATATCATATCTCACCATGAAAATGGATTGGAAAAACCCAGAAAGTCCAAACTTCCATTGCCATTCAACCCAAATGTGATGGAAGTTTATGATTATGGAGACCAGTCTCATGATTTAATCTTCACTAAGAACAAGTAGAAGTTGTACTGGTGTCCAGAAACAAACAAGCAAACTCTGTATGATACATGCTGCACTTTCCAATATGTCAAATTGTCACATTAAATGGGACTGCTGCTACAGAACAAAAGTGCACAGGCTCCCACTATAAATGCTTTGGTCTGTGGAAGATGATGGAAACAGTGAAATCATTTTCTGTTTGGGATTTTGGGAAGGGTAGATGCAGATAAAAGAACAATTTTCTATCTTTGATCAGTCTGTGCATGTGCTGTTACAAAGATGCTGAGCTGAAATATGTTTCCTGTTCCCATGATTGTTTTTTCTCTGGCTTTCTCTGTTACTTTTACCACCCCAACACTTTAAGTTAACAAGTCAAAAAAGGATAGAAAATGACAAAACAAAGTTTGAAAAGATCAAAAGATGCATCCTCTCACTTTCTGCTAAAAAGTGAAAAAAGGGCGAAATGATGCTGCACTTTTACCTACCAATAATGGATTAGTTACAACCACATTAGAGACTAATCATTCATTGCTTCTCTAATTGAACACAGGGATTGAGATATGTGAGAGGCTGTCAACCATGGGAATTGCAGTGAACTTGGTGACATATCTCATTGGAACAATGCACATGCCTAGTGCAACTTCAGCCAATGTGGTCACAGACTTCATGGGCACATCTTTCCTTTTGTGTTTGCTTGGTGGCTTCCTTGCTGACTCTTTCTTAGGCAGGTTCAAGACCATTGCGATCTTCTCTGTTGTCCAAGCCATTGTAAGTAAACTAAAACAAAAAAAAAAGTTCCACTCTTTTTAGTCACCACAATTTCCCCATTTGATCCCTAAACTTTTTTTTATCATCAGGGGACAGCAACATTAGCAGTAGCCACAAAGCTGCCACAGCTAAGGCCACCACCATGCCATGCTAACAACAGCTCCTGCACCCCAGCAACTGGATTCCAAATGGGGATTCTGTACATGGCACTGTACCTCATAGCACTGGGCACAGGAGGCTTGAAATCGAGTGTGTCAGGATTCGGTACAGATCAATTCGACGAGAAGGATGAGAAGGAGAAAGCTCAGATGGCCTACTTCTTCAACAGGTTCTTCTTCTTCATCAGCTTAGGGACTCTCTTGGCGGTAACGGTGTTGGTCTACATCCAGGACGAAGTGGGCCGGAGCTGGGCCTATGGAATCTGCTCTGCCTCCATGTTCATTGCCATTGCAATCTTGCTCTCTGGAACTAAGAAATACAGGTAATGGTAGAAACTTATAGGGGGGAAACTTAACTTGTAGGACAAGTAATGAGACTATGGAAAATTACACAATGGTACTCATACTTTTACTCAACACACTCTAATACAGGTACAAGAAATCCATGGGGAGCCCTATAGTCCACATCCTTCAAGTCATTGCAGCAGCAATTGGGAAAAGGAAAATGGACTTGCCCTATGATGTCAATTTGCTGTATGAGACCAATCCTGATGTCACAAGGATTCAACATACGAACCAATTCCAGTTCTTGGACAAGGCAGCAATTGGTGTTCAGGGTGATTTTGAGGCTAGCAACAATGGCCGCCCGGGTTCGGAGCCTAACCCGTGGAGGCTGTGCTCCGTGACCCGGGTGGAAGAGGTGAAGATGATGGTGAGGTTGCTGCCGATTTGGGCGACGACGATCATATTCTGGACGACATATGCTCAGATGATTACTTTCTCGGTGGAGCAAGCTTCCACCATGGATAGAAACGTCGGGAGCTTCGAGATTCCGGCGGGGTCGCTTACCGTGTTCTTTGTGGCTGCGATTCTGCTCACCCTGGCTGTATATGATCGGTTGGTCATGCCCGTTTGGAAGAAATGGAGAGGCAAACCAGGTAAGAAGTTTGTGCACTCAGAAGGGCTTATATACAAATTGATGATTATATAGTGATCAAGTTGGAAGAGAAAAGTAAATGGGTTAATTACTTGTTTGGTCCATGGATTTTAGGAAAAGTTACAATTTGGTCTTTCAAATTATTATTTAAATAGCTCGAAAATGTTCAAACTAGCCTAAAAATGGTTTTATAGGTATTTAACATCAATTTTAAGGTGTAAAAATTACATATAACTCTTTTACGAATTATCTCAAAATTAAAGATTGTTTGATGGGATTTGAATTTTTACAAACGTATTACGTTTATTGTTATCAGATTTTCACAAGCAAAAATACAATGTGGTGTTTGAACTTTTCTTAAGTTAAGTTATCACTCAAAAGTAAAGCTTGGTTACTCGATTTTTATTCTCAAAATTAGTCGTTAACATAAAAGATTGTCATAATTCATTATAAATTTTTTTTTGTCATAATTCACACTACAAATACTTTTTTATCATAAAATCTTAGCGAGTCAATACTATATAATCCCGAGGCTTGTGTGATCAAAACGTATAAGGTCGCATCATAAATCACTCTTAACAAATTACTCAATTATGGCACTATAATAACATCTCAATTAAGTACTCCTACAATATGGACTCAATTACATAACTCCCAAAGAAAGGGGACCAAACTGAAAATTTTCCAACAAATTCCCGATTAGCCCACCATCTTTTATTCACTCACTTCCCCTGCCTCTCCCAACAAAACAGGTTTCAGCAGCCTCCAGAGGATAGCAATCGGCCTGGCCCTCTCCACCATCGGCATGGCCGTTGCCGCCCTGGCCGAAAGCCGCCGCCTATCCGCCGCCAAATCCATCACCGCCGCGACGAAAACCGTCCCAATCTCAGTCTTCCTGCTGATCCCACAGTTCCTCCTGGTCGGTTCAGGGGAGGCATTCATCTACACAGGGCAGCTGGACTTCTTCATCACTCAGTCCCCCAAAGGGATGAAGACAATGAGCACGGGGCTATTCCTCACCACTCTGTCGCTCGGGTTCTTCGTCAGCAGCTTCTTGGTCATGGTGGTGAAGAAGGTGACTGCTGGTGGTGGAAATGGTGGGCAAGGATGGCTGGCTGACAACATTAACCATGGAAGGCTCGATTGCTTCTATGGGTTGTTGGCTGTTCTTGGAGTGGTGAACTTTGTTGTGTTCTTGGTGTGTGCTGTCTGGTACAAGCCTAGTGGGAAAGAGGGTGGTGGGTCAATGGAGATTGTGGAGAAGAAGAGTAATGGGGTTGAGGAGAAGTGCTAAAGGGAGATTAAGGGTTAATGTGCTCTAGCTCTTAGTTTGTATGTACATTAGTAATAATCTTGGAGGGGGGTTTCCTATTTCCTTTTTGCATCTTTTTGTATTTTGTGAGTGTGGTTTCGTTTCTCGAAATTTCGAAGTGAAACGGGAGGTCGAGTTTTAAACTTGTCTATGTATGTGTAGAATTGTGGTGAACTTCGTATCAGAAGTAATAGAAAAATGAAAATCATTATGTAATAGTTGTGATCTTGTCGTTAATTGACTTGTTAATGTTGAGATTCTAATCATTTGAGTTGAACACTGTGTAGTTTAGTCTTAGATTATTCGTTCATCGCACTACTATATTCTAATGAAAATACTACTACTCAAGGTTCATCCTAAATTCGAACAATAAATCTACAGATACCTTCAAAAGAGAGAGTGATTGGAGATGAAATCTAACCCTAATTGGGCTAGTCACTTACACACCAAAGGACAAAAAAAAACCTCCAAAAGCATCTATGAATCCACAAATGGAAGATATACATGTCTAAGTTCTAATTGTGCAATAATATTCGAAGAAGTTGTAGTAGTGACTAAGCACAAGTAAGGTTAGGTAATACTCACGTTGGTGAGGGGTAGGGCGTCGGCCGTCGGGTCGGTCAATACTTATATGTCATTTGGAAAAAAAACATCAATATTTAACTATTTTACGAGAACATGTAGAGACAACATTTCATAAATAAAATAAATAATGAATTCTAAATAATAAAAAGATAGTCTTAAAATTTCTTTAGGATGAAAATATGATTTTAGAAAGATAAATAAAAAGAGAAATACATGATACATGTAGGTATCAATGCGAATCATAATAGAATAGGTCGAAAATGGACGGGACAATGCAGAGCAGATCGAAAGCAATATTCATGACACACTCCACACTAATGCGAATCAAGTGTCAAGGAAACGGTATGGAGAAAACCGGATTGAAGGTGTGAGTAATCACTCTCCTTAGAGTGTTATTTGCCCCCACTACGTTGTTGCTGGTAGGAGTGGGCATTCGGTCGGTTCGGTTTCGACCAAACCGAAATTATGAATACTAGGTCTCCGAATTCTCTCAAACCTCAAACCGTATTCGAACTGAATTATAATTCGGTTCGGTTTTTCACACAAAACCAAATTTGTGAAACTACTTGTATTTTCTTACTTTTAAATTATTTTTCACCCCTAATATAAACAATAAATATCAATTATATGCATCATCAATGATAAAATCAAACTTTTCAACACATAAGTCATAAAACATTTCAAATACTTAAGTATAAAACAACTACAAACATAAAAATCCACCATTTAGAGCTTGCAATTATAGAATTTCGGTTTTTCGGTCGGAAATTCGATTCGGTTGAAAGAACCCTGATTTCCGAACTATCCATATTTTTCTTCCGAATTCCGAACCGAATAACATTTATTCGGTTTCGGTTCGATTTAATTCGGGTTTGGTTCGATTCGGGTTTACCGAACCGTTTGCCCACCCCTAGTTGCTGGTAGGAATTAGGCAAACCACCCCCAGGAGTCCCTTCAACCAAAGTCCGAAAGCAGCACCTATCTGACTTCTGTGTTTGCGTTTTTTGAGAAGGAAAAACAAGGAGAAGAAGATGAACGTTGCACGAGAAGTCTGGCTGCAGAAGGCTATTATAGTGAAAACGTCAGTTCCCTTCCGAAAGGTTACGTCGTTTCACAAAAGTCAAAACATCAAATAATTATCTAGATTAATTAATTAGAATAATTTTGATAATTAATTAGCCAAACTAAATAGCCCACACTTTTTCCAAAAGTCCACTAACCGTTTTATCCAATAAACTAAAGTGGAAAGCAAACTTAAAAACCACTTGCACTTTCCTTCTTCCGCCTATGTGGTATTTCGTTTAACTCTTTTGACTACTCTAACATCAAGTATTACCCATTTCAAACAAATCGACAAGATGGAATCCCCGAATCATATCAGAAATTGTAGGGTCTTCCCCACTCTAATCAAACGAATCCAGCCACAAAGTTGTCTGAATTAAAAAAGCTTTATTCCCTATGGGGGAAAAGAGTGAAAGGAGGCGATTTGATTATAGCAAGACATAGGAGGTAGCTAGAATCAAAGCATCGATCTCCAGTCATGGAGTGAGGTTTCTTAGTAGGCAAAACCCCTCCACGACATGATACGATAGCTCCCCTCCAACTGAACAATCTATCTATGTCAACCCATCTTCAACATTTCTGAAGGAGAATACAATAATCGTAGTGGAAGATGAGCAAATTTCTTGGTGGTGAATAACTCTCGTTACCGGTTATCGCATAAAGCGATAAATGACTGGGTACATAGTAATGAGTTATATTCTTATGGATATAGATGATCAAACTACTTACTTGAATGAGCTTTGTTATAGCCATGCGAAATTATTATCACGATAATAGGCAATAGCTATATAAAAATGGATTCACAGCTTTTTGCATTGGTTGCCTAATCGCAAGCTGGGTGTCCGGGGCAGAAAAAGTTGATAAACAAGTGGTAGAAACTTGGGTGTCGACTCTTAAAAGCAGGCTGATTTTTCAGGACTAGGAGAACCCCTCCTGTTAGGCGTTTGAAGTAGTTGTTTTGCTTCTGTTGTCTTCTGTCTAGGGCCCTCCTTCTTCCTTTGGCTCTTGCTTCTCTTCCCTGTATATTTTCTTTGTCCTCCCCTGCGCATGTTTTCCTTTTGTTTCCAGCTTTGTTTTGTCCTGTTATTTTTTGTATCTTTTTCAGATTATTATTAATCTATATCATGCTTAACAAAAAAAAGATTTATTTAGTACTATTAATTAGCCTAGAACCTTGTGTAGGCTGTCTATTGTATCAGCATGATCATTCACATCAAATTCATCCGAGTACTCCTAAGAATTGAGGTATGCCTCACATCACAACGGTAAGGTAAACAACTCGGGATAAATAGTAAAATTGTGACAATACCATAACAAAATTTGAAAATATATGTGTTACTGTGATGTTGAAATAACATGCCACAATATATCATGATCCGATTCAATTCCATGAATTATTTTAATTATGAACAAAGAGTGGACAAAAATTTAATTTGGAGAGGACCGAATTTATTCAAGTCTTGATCTCATTTAGTATTTTGGTTTAAATTCTTTTGATTCCTCTATACTCAATCAAATCCTCAAATTATAGATCTTCATTTTTCATTATGCTCAATCCCGTTTCGATATGCTCGATTCGTTCCCGACCCGCATAATTAAATCTCTAGCGCTACCCATAAACCCTAATTTAATTTCCTAAAAGTTCCATCTACTACCCCAAATCCATACATAGCCAAAAGCTTGATACAAACATAATATAAAAAGACTTGTAAAGAATTGATCTCATCATCCTCACTAGAGAACAGCATTTTGATTTCCGGTGTAGGAAAGAATCTCTTTTTTATCTTCAGCTGCCTGCTTATTGCCATTTTACCAATCCAAACAAAGGATTCGACACTGGCAATGCCAGTAATAGCTCAGTGATCGACAATGGTGAACAAATTGCAGGAACCCTGTGCTTATCTCCATCTTACAGAGGCTTGGCGATGATGCAGCAGCGTTAGTACAAATGAATCAGAAAAACCAGCATGTGCATTTGCCTGTGAATCATGGCACTCAATTGATGAATTCATTCAAGCAATAAATTGCATTCTGGACCCTTCATTTGGGAATCGTGTACCGTTCGAATTCTATTGGACCATCATCGTCATATGTATGCTTTGTCTGTATGTCACCATTTTTTAACATCTAATCTATGGGGAAGAGAACAGAAACACAAAGTCTTCAGTACTGTTCAGAATCAGAGCATCTAATCTAATTTTAATGGCGTCTCCCAGTTTTATGGTACGAAGGATATCAACTTTTCAGGAACTTTTCAACGAGAAATTCGTATCTTATCAGATTGCTATTGAAGTGGGGTTATTTTTTCAGAGAAAGGATTGATTCGTACCTCGTTTGATTCAGTTGCAGTCACATGTAGAATATTCTAGTTGCTTTTTGGTAGATATAAAGATTAGATTGTGTGTTTAACACTAATTGAAAATATATGGCTACAGAATCTCGTACAAAATGTGAGATCCATAATGAATTATTTTTTTTATTGTCTTACACATTTTGAGTCTAAATTTTTATTGTCTTATCAATATGTATATTTTGAGTCTAAAATGAAATTGAAAACGATGTATTCTGCGTAAACATTCATTAGTTTAATTATTTGTATGCAGTATCTTTTTTATTTAAAAACATTCATATATGTTTCGTTGTGCTATTATTGATCCAGTTGAAACAATAAAACCAGATACAAAGTTTAATTGCCGTCCGACAAGTATAGAATGTAAAATATATGCATTTTTATGGTAGGGTTGTGAGACTTTTATATAATATTTAAATATAATGCTTGAATTTATGATGAGATCCACTTAAATGGTACCTCGATATACTTTCCACTTACCCTCTAAGATATTTTGATAACAAGATTTCTCGAATTAAACAGAATAAAGATAATGAATGCTATGTATTCTGGAAATTAACGAAATGAACAAAGACTTGAATATGGAGGTCTCAAATTCTAATCGTTTAAATCAGTGCTGTCAAAGCCGAACCGAGCCGGTCGGCCGGACCGCCAAAGCCGCCACCCGGCCGTAAAACCGGCTCGGATCAGCTATTTAACCGCCACAGTTTTATACAGCGGCTGGCGAGCGGCCGAAGCGGTTAGCCGCTCAAGCCGGTCGCGCGGTTCAGCAGTTTGGTTTACCCTAAAAAAATAGAAAAGGAATCGTGGAATTGTGCAGCCAAACAAAACCCTAACTTTCCTTCTATTTCTCCATCTTCGACCTAGAAGTAGAACAGACGACAGAGGGAGAGCGGCGCCACCCTGCCGCCGTCAACCATCGCCCCAGGCCCCCAGCCCTTCCGTCCCGTCGCCGCAAGCAAATCGCCGCCGCAAGCAGCACGCCATCGCCAGTCGCCATCGTCTCTTCTGCTCCCCGCTCCCGGCGCAAGCAGCTCGCATGTTTAAGACTCTTGTTTAATGTTCAGACTCGTGTGATATTGCTTCTATTTTGGAACAATGTGGTGGTTTGGAATTGAATTTTAGATCTTTCAGTACTGATGTTCTAGAATGGTTTAAGAGAGTAATTTACTTGTGGTTACCATGATTAAGAAGTGTCTACTATTACAGATGACTGTTTATTAGGTACCGGTTCTCAAACGATTTTTAAACGGTCTAATGCCGGCTGGACCGCTAATGACCAAGCCGTTCACGTTACCGGGTCATACTCCGGCTCGGCTTTGACAGCATTGGTTTAAATAATAGCTAACCATCAAAACTCAATCGTATAACACCTTTATAAAAAAAATTACATTATTACGAAGCCACTCCTATATGGTTTTTGGATGAAAAGGCTATGAAGTTATAGCGCCACTTGAATGGCCCATGAGCTCCGACGACTGTGTATTGGTAGTTGAAATGTGGCTGGCAATTTGGGCTTACCTTGAGGTCCAGTTACCGTCATTTGGTGGGCCTAACTCTTGGCGAAAGGTGTTACAACTGGGAACCCAAGCCCAAAATAATAACATGCTAACATGGTCCAGCGAAGCGACTAATTCAATCAGTTCTTTGTCCCCCAAAACACACGTCATATTCACTAATCCATGGACCACGATTCACGTTAACATAGACCAAACCCTAATTGCCCATTAAAGAATGACCCTTGTCATTTTTCTGCAAGTTAATTTCTAGGGAAAAAAAAGGCAAGTGCGAAATAATTTCAAAGTCCATGTTGAAGAAGATAAAATGTAACCGTCTTGATTGTAAACTATACTCTATCGTTTAATTTAAAGTGTAAGAAAATGATAGTTCAAACTCATTTTGCACTTCAAGTTTTAGTGAAAACGAAATATGGAAATTTTGTTTACTCTCTTTCTCCAAGAGAGCAGGGAAACTTCTTTCAAATAAAAACATTTATATCATCATGTACACTATTCCATTTTCTACATAAATTCGTCACTCCAGTCACACTAATATATATATGAGACGCAACATTACTCGACCGGATGTGCTACTAAGCTTAAAATTCAGAAAGCACAATCCCAAGACTCGTTTCTTGCAAATTTCCTCCTCTTTTCTATCGAAGTACAGACCAAAGAACAATATCGAGAGTCAAATTCCAATCCTCCACTTCTACATTATAATAATATAGCTTACATGTCCATATTAGCCTTTTCTTTTACAGACTGAAACATGAAGGTCAAGTCAAAATCATGGCAATTAGTCATCCAAAAACAAAATTATTAAGTGCCAACAAAATTTTTGTATTATTAAAGTAGGTATAGTCAGGTGGGCATCCCATCTGGAAAACAAAAAGATCTCTATACCCAGTCCCAGCTAATTACTCCTCTTTAATCCAACCAATCTCAAACCGACTCGTGTCCTCGTTAAAGCACAACACCAAAAAAGCCAAGAACAGAATCAATCCCACCTTTTATTAATTACCTTTTCCTAATTACTTTGCCAGTCTTTTTACAAAGGAATATTTGGTAGTTGAACGTTTTTATTTCGGATCAACCAAAACTAATTAGAATTCCTAATCAAAACAAAAACTCCCCACAGTCTCCATAATCACACTGTCTCCCTCCACTAACGGTTGCTTTTCCCCCCACCCCCTCCATTACTGCAAGATTCCTTTCTCCCCTTCTATTTCCCTGAACTGGGTTTTGATTTTCTCCCAAAAAAGCTCCCACCTTGGGCGATGGAAACCGTCGCCGGCGGTAATTTTACCAAGTTGCAGCAACAGCAGCAGCAGAAGAAGCAAAAATGGTTCCTTCTGCTAATCGCCTCGCTTCTAATCTCGACACTTCTGATCCTCCTCACAGTGACTTTTTCCTCGGGAGGGAATAATTCGGCCTCGACTACCCAGCTGCTGTTCCGCTCCTACCGCCGACGGCAGCAGCAGGACCGGAGCTCCCCGCGATTTGTGGAATCGAAGTTGGCCAAGCCGGAGACTTCGGCGGGGAAACTGCCTCGCCTCGCTTATCTGATATCTGGGTCGGCCGGGGACGGGGTGAATCTGAAGAGGGCGCTGAAGGCTCTGTACCATCCGAGGAATCAGTACGTCGTGCATTTGGACCTGGAGGCGCCGGTGGAGGAGAGGTTGGAGCTGATCAGGTGGGTCAAGGAAGACGAGAAGGTTTTCCAGGAAGTGGGTAATGTGAGGGCGGTGGTTAGGTCGAATTTGGTTACCTATCGAGGTCCGACCATGGTCAGTAACACGCTTCATGCTGCTGCTATTCTGTTGAAGGATGGTGGGGAGTGGGATTGGTTCATCAATTTGAGTGCTTCTGATTACCCTTTGGTCACTCAAGATGGTAATGTTCATAGTGCAGTTCCTTTGATTCTTTTTGCTCAAGGTTGCATTTGGAAATGGACATTGTTTCTCTGTTAAGGGCAGTTCAGCTTTCAATTGGTGAAGTGTGAATGTTAGCTTCTAGCTCACAGTTTCTGGATTTGGATGTGCTATCTCAATCATGTTGGCTAATTAGGGATTTCTTACTATATTTGGCTGATGCGTGTCTGAACTTGAAAATGTCACCGAATTGTAGTTGATTGGGTTGAATTGTTGGCCAGTTTTACCTACTCTTCTATACAAAATTGCTGCTTTAACAATTGCAATCATATAAAACTTGCAAGTTGAAAGTTCCATTTGCTCACAGTTTAGAACTTGAACCTCTAGATTGTTTAATGGGGCCTGTGACAGATTTGCTGCACACATTGTCTTCCATCCCAAGGGACCTCAACTTCATTGAGCATACTAGCGACATTGGCTGGAAAGAGTAAGTCTTGCTGTTCATCTTTCCTCCTACTGCTTTTGAAATGCAGATGGAAGTATAATGCAGTGTGATGTTACTTGTCAGTTTTGTTTAAGGCATTGATTTCCGTTTCTCCTTCTGGAGATTGCAGAGATCAGAGAGCTAGGCCGGTGATAATTGACCCGGGGCTATACAGCCTGCAGAAATCAGATGTTTACTGGGTCACAGAGAAAAGGAGTGTCCCAACTGCCTATAGACTCTTCACAGGTCAGTATAGCTGCAAAACATTACTTTGTCTAAAGGAAATTTGTTCAGCAAAGTTTCAAATCATGAACATGATTTGCAACAGGTTCTGCTTGGATGATGCTTTCTCGTCCTTTCATTGAGTATTCCCTATGGGGATGGGACAATCTCCCCAGGATAGTGCTAATGTACTACGCGAACTTCCTTTCGTCGCCTGAGGGCTACTTCCACACGGTGATCTGCAACGCGGAGGAGTTCAAGAACACTACTGTGAATCATGATCTCCATTTCATCTCTTGGGACAACCCTCCTAAGCAACACCCTCATTTCCTCACCGCAGAAGATTATCAGAGGATGGTCGACAGCAATGCACCTTTTGCCAGGAAGTTTGGGAAGAACGATCTGGTTCTTGACAGGATCGATTCGGAGTTACTGGGGGTAAGTGCTGATGGGTTTGTCCATGGTGGGTGGTTCAGTAAAACCGTCAAGGCTAACTCGACCGAGCTTAAGCCTGGCAATGGAGCTCGAAGGGTCAAGAATCTGATTTCGGGGCTTCTGTCTGCTGAAGGTTTTCGTACTTCACACTGCATCTGATTAGGATCTCTATACTTATATATAGGTTTTTGTAGGACATTAGCTATTAGGTGGATTGTTCTTAGTTGAGTGCATTATGTGGTTTGTGGAACAATCTATTGAGTGTAATGATTTAAGGCATAATAATAGAGATATAATAACAAAGTTGTGATAAGCTCCAATTAGCTTAATTGATCTCGATATCTCAAACATCGATGAAATACTATTTCACTGGATGCAAGAGCCATATTGATAAATTTCTTAGTAAAATGCATAAATTTTTGTGTTTTGTATAGTTTTCCTACGAAACTCGAATGGTTTCGAATTTTTAAAATTGAAATCGAATCATGATAAATTGGCTATACGGTATTTTGACGAGATTACTATATCTCGGGAATATCACATATTTTGTGATATTTTGCCGAGTTATTGCTGTATTTGTCTATTTCCTTTTAATCCGTCTCCTTCCGTGACTGACGCCGGTTTCCAGTACAATTTCATTTCGTCTTCAATGGCGTTTATGATCCTCAGACGCAGCCGCCTCTCCGCATCGACACCCAAAACTGCCACCGACATTTCCCGCCTCTTCTGCACCACCTCCACCACTCCATCTCCGGCGACCGGTGAACCCCCTATAGTCTCCGACGTCGTCTCCCTCCTAACGCACCACCGCTTCAAATCCCGGTGGAGCCATCTCCGATCCCTCCTCTCCTCCAACCAGGACCCGCTCTCTTCTCCTCACTTCTCCCAGATTTCCCTCCGATTCAAATCGAACCCTCGTCTCGCCCTCCGCTTCTTCGATTTTACCCGCCGGAACTCCTCCCTCTGCTCTCACGACGCCTACTCTTTCGCCACCGTCATCCACCTCCTCTCCCGCGCCCGCCTCAAGTCCCCGGCGCAGTCCGTCATTCGGACCTTTCTCTTGTCTCGCCAATTATGGCCTGAAGACGATGAAGAACCCCCGTGTGACCCGCCTTTGAAACTGTTCGAAGTGCTGGTCAAAAGCTACAGGTACTGCGATTCCGCTCCGTTCGTATTCGATTTGCTGATCAAATCCTGTCTCGAGCTGAAAAAAATTGATGCGTCGTTAGAGATTGTGAGGAAGTTGAGGTCCCGTGGGATTAGCCCTCAAATTGATACTTGTAATGCTTTGATTTCGTGGGTTTCCAAGTGTAGAGGGTCATCTGCTGGTTATGAAATGTTCAGGGAACTGTTTGGATTGGTGGGGAGCAAGGTTGAGGGAAAAGGGGGAAGGGGTTTGAGAAATCGACCTAATGTGCAAAGCTTTAATCTTTTGATGGAGGGGTTTTACAGAGACGGAGAAGTGGAGATGGTGGAGGAAATCTGGTTGGAGATTGAGAGATTTGGGTGTGGTGGTAATGAGCACAGTTACAGTATTTTACTGGCTGTGTATTCTGAAGCAGGGAAGATGACGGAAGCCGTGAAGCTATGGGAAGCGATGGTGGAGAAAGGGGTAAAACCTGAAGTTATGGCTTATAACACCATAATCGGTGGATTTTGCAGGGCACGTGATTTGAAAAATGCTGAAGAGTTTTTCAGAGAAATGGAAATGAGTGAAGTGGAGTGTAGTTCTGACATCACTTTTGAACATCTCATCGGTGGCTATTGCGGAATTGGGGATGTCGATGCAGCGCTGCTTGTGTATAAGGATATGCTAAGAAAGGGTTTTAGGCCTGCAGCAGTGACAATTGAGGTCTTGATTGGAGGGCTATGTGAGAAGGGAAGGTTTTCAGAAGGTTTGGAAGTTATGAGATATGCAATGAAGGATGTGAGTTTCTCTCCAAGTCGAAAGAGTTATCAGTTTCTGATAAAAGGGTCGTGTGAGGACGGGAAACTGGAAGTAGCAGGCAAGCTTCAGGCTGAGATGGTAGGCAAAGGGTTTGAGCCAAATGCAGAGGTTTATGGTGCTTTTGTTGAAGGGTACACTAGGGTTGGAAATGAAAAAATGGCAGCGAAGGTTAGGAAGGAGATGTCTGATAGACTGGAGATGTCAGACAATGAGATGAAATGATGAAGCCATGGGAATGCAGCAACTCCTGGGAGTGCCATGTTTGCAGCTACTCTTTGGCAATATGTGTGCACAGCTTTTGGATCAATAGTGCATTTTTTTGAATTTACTGCCAGGCTTCATCAATGGCTTTCGGAAGGTTGTTCTGCAATTCCACTCTACCAAGGCAGTCACCCTCCTTACTTCAGGTGAACGAGATGTAGTGAATCTGATGCTTGTCAGTGGCTTATAGATAAATTGGTTGAGGCGATTTCTGACTTTTAATTCACTAGCTCTTTACCAAAAAGTACTCTCGGAATTGTTTCTGGACAAAGACTGGTCACAATGGCAGAAAACCCAGCAGAGCTGCTGCCTGCTGCCACTGGATAATGCAGTCATTGTCGCATAGCCAAATGCGAGGCCTAGAACTAGAGCTTGATGTACTCCTGCCTGGAGCGGACGTCAGCTCAACCCAGTGCACACTTCTAGTAGCAACCTACTTCTCTTGGGGTTCCTCAAAGCTACCATGTGAGGTGAACATTAGAGATAGAATGGCGTTCGCATATGGTTGCACATGTCAGGTTTGTACCAAAAAACTTAAAGGTCCTTTTGTTTCGATGTTGCCACGCAGACAGCTCTCTGAATTCTCTTGGGGGTTCCTCCGCTGTATTTTCTGCATGTGTATGCCTCGCCTGTGACAAATCTGCTGCACACATTGCTTCCATCCCAAGGGACGTCAACTTTTTATGAGCATACTAGCTATATCAGTTTGAAGGAGCAAGTCACATGCTGTTCATCTTTCCCCCTGCTGCTTTTGAAATGCAGATGAAGTATAATGTAGTATGTGTTGCTTATCAGCTTTGTTTACGACATGGATTTTCCTTCTTTTAGTCTGGATATTGCACAGACCAGAGAGCTAGGGTGGTGATAATCGGTCCAGGGCTATACAGCTTTGCAGAAGTAGGATGTTTTCTGGGTCACAGAGAGAAAGAGTCCCCTCTACATAGAGATTCTTCACAGGTCCGTATGGCTTCAAAATACGACATGCCTATAGCATATCTGGTCAGAACAAGTCATAATCATGAACATGAACTGCAATAGGTTCTGCAATAGGTTCTCCCCTTAATAGTTCTAATGTACCATGCAAACATCCTCGTTTCACCCGAGGGCTACGTCCATATGGTGATCTGCAATGCTCATGAGTTCAAGAACACTACAGGCAATCACGATCTACATATCATCTCTTGGGATAACCATCGTTAGCAGCCCCGTTATTTCCGCATTTTAGATGATTACTAGAGGATGATCGACAACAATGCATTATGCATCCATCTCCAGGTAGAGTAGGAAGACCGGTCCCGTTCTTGACAGGATTGATTCAGAGTTACAGGGGGTAACTGCTGATGGGTTTTTTACATGATGGGTGGTTCAGTACAAATGCCAAAGACTAACTTGACGAAGCTGAAACCTGGAATTGGAGCTCGAAGGATGAAGAATATGATTTCAGGGCTTCTGTCAGCTGAAGGGTTTCGTACGTCGCACTACATCTGTTTTGGTTCATGCCTATTTAATAAAATGAACTTAATTATATATAAAATATCCGATCATACTGGTGGTGTTCATACCGGGTTCTTGACCGGCATTTCACCAGCGTGATAACCATGATAAAACTACAATAACAAAGTCGATAATATTCAATTGGCTAAATCATTTGTTAGATGGTACACCAATCGACCGATACGTTACAATATCTCATAAGTTGATAACATTTCATCAAGTAGCTGCTAAAGTAAAGATGAAGTTGATTGGTTCTTTTGATCAGAGAGAGATTATTCGTTTTTTGTCTATCTTCTTGCCATTCTCTAATTTGCTATACGAACAAACGTTTCCTATGCGTTCTTGCTAGAGGTGGCAAATGGATTTTAGATCTCTAGATTGATTGAATTGGATTTAGAGGTGTTTAAACCGTATAATTATGGTGGTATTTAGTTAATTTGGATAATAGTACTTTGATAACCATTTAAATTTTAAACCGTGTTAACCATTTTTTCCTTTTCCTTTTCCTTTTCCTTTTCCTTTCGGAGTAAAGCTTCCGAACTCCTCCTGACTACTTCCAAGCTCCATCTATAAATAAAGGTCAAACACGGAGACAGTGTCACGAATTCAAGATCAATGTTTCTAAGTTATTTTTAAGAATAAGAATGGAAGGAGATTGCTTTGGCAAATTGCCGGCGGAGCTACTTGGTAAGATAGCCACCGCGCTGCCGCTGGATGAGGCGGCGAGGACCAGCGTCCTCTCCCGCCGATGGCGGAGTCAGTGGAGGCTGGCAGCATTACCAAACCGCCACTTCGCCGGCGGCAGCGTCACCAAATTCACGCCCGACGGTTACCCAATCTCGTGCTTCGACACCGTGGGTGACTTCCTGAGCTGGGTCGACCAGGTCATCCGCCGGCGAGAGCCCTTCCCTCCCCGCCGCCGGACCGGCTCTCTCATAGTACCCCGCCGGACCGACCTCTCCATCGACTCGCTGGGGCTGAATTTCGATCCGGAGGATCCCCATTACGGATGGATCGAATTCAACAAGGACAGATCCAAAACCGCAATCCCGTTGGTGGACGGCGCGTGCACCTGCTGCCGCTCCAAAGTCGTGTCTTTTCTTAGCCGCCGGCTTCCGCAGCCTCCTCACGGGCTCTCCCTGTGCAGTCTTTTGTCGGGCGGAAGGCGGAAGGAACTTCTCAAACAGTTGACCCTGCGGAACTGCGACATGGACATCCTGAGCCGCCACCTCAGCGGCGACCCAGGCCACAGCTTTGAGTAAGATAATAATTGAACCACCGTGCGCTAACCCTAGCTAGGGATTTTTCTTTAGTTTCTTAATGCTCGCTTGTTAACTAACTCAATCTCTCTTTTATTGTGCTTCTGGTATAATCAAATCAGGTGTCTGAGATCGCTGGTGGTGCAAAAGGGGCGGTCGATAGGGGTGAGATTCCTGGCCAGGTTCATCTATGGCTGCCGGGATCTCCGGAATATGACATTGGAAGACTGCAGCATCGTCGACGACACTGTACCTTCACGCTTCAGTGGCCTGCTGGTCATCGCGGGCAGTCCCTTGGTGCATTTGAGATTGACTAGATGCAGTGGGTTTAATGAGATTTGGTACCAACTCGGCAAAGTAAGGAGATATGCTTATCCGTCGGAGATCTACCAAGAGACAGTAGACTACAACTTTGCTGATTTGGACGGAACACCGCCTCTACCCGAAGAGCGACAAGGACCTGAACTTGAGATGCCACCCAGTCTAAGGAATGCATTGTTGGCGTACGAGTTACGGTTACAGAATGATGATGAAGAGGAGATTACTATGACTGATGAAGAGGAAGTTGCCTACAACTTTTATGATCAATTTGATCGCAATTAGTTTTGAAATTATTATTATTATTATTATTATTATTATTATTATTATTGATCATCTAGGTTAACTTATATTCATCTCACCATATTTTTAGATAAATTTTCAGTCTCCTTGAGTTGGGCTGATTGCCCTCGTAATGCTGTCTTAGATGTACTGGTCTACTTGGATGAATGACTTCTCAGAAAGGTTGTCAACCCGCGGGTTGATCCGGACCCGGTTGAGCTAGTGGGTCAAGGGTTAATGGGTCACCCGTTTTATCCCGGTTTAGCCCGGAAATATGGAAAGCGTCATTATATTGTACTTATCCTGATAAATTATATTAAATCTCATCTAACATATGAGTTATAACACCAAAATAACATTTCGTACTTAGATTCAACATATAGTGAAAATTCACACACACTTATATAACATTAGTATTCAAATGTTCAATTTCGGATTCCAAAGATTGAGTTAGGCGAAAAGAAAAATCGGAAAATAAGCGCAGTTCGCAAAACAAAGAAAAAAACGACACAATTTGACCTCCAACCCGGTACCTTGTGGCGGTCGACCCGGCGGGTGCGTGCGGCCCGATTTTCTCACCAGGTCAGGGTCAAAGTGGGTCAACCCGCGGGTTGACAACCTTGCTTCTCAGGCTTTCACGGCTTGGCTTGATTTTACAATAGCATGTTGGTTCACTTGATTGGATGGTTAGAAATGGGACTAGCGGTGTGACATGAAATCAGGTTAACCACTACGGTTTAATTGCTTCATTGGTTTAATATCTTAACCACAAAAATTAAGAAAAAGTTACATTAAGATCATCAATCGGTTTAATTGCTTCACTGGTTCAATATCTTAACCACAAAAAATTAAGAAAAAGTTACATTAAGACCATCAATCTCAATAAGTAAATTTATTTATGTTTTCTTTATTCATTTCTCAGCTTTCTTGTCGGATTTATCTGGTTCATTACAGATTGCCACTCTTATTACTGACTTGAATTTGATACTGAAAAGTTATATAAAAAAATTCGAGAGAGTTTGAATCCTTTGTTAGAATTTTTTGGTAATAGATGATATTGGATTTGAAATTTTGTATGGTTAGTGATAAAATCACTGCTAAACTAGGTTGAAATTTTATGTCTTTTTATGTTATAGGGCATTAACGGCTCTATCAACGATTAATCAATGATTCTAAAGATTAACCGTTGAATCATCAACCACTAAGAGCCTGTTCCCTTTAATTTTCATTTTCTATTTTTCTGGTAACGAAAATGAGAAAACATGTTTACTTTTCATTATGTTCTCTGATTGTTTCCAACTATCGAAACAGAAAATGATAGCTTCCTGCAATTTCCGAAAATGACAAAACGTTGTTTTCACCCGTTTTTTACATATATTTTCTTGTATTTTAAATGAATTTTTGTCTTCTTCTTATTGACAAGTAAAAATATTTGAATTAAAATACTAATAATTTTTTTAGTACTTTAAATTTTCTCTTTTACTTAACTTTTTCTCTTTATATATATAATTTTCACCTTGTAGACTATTTGAAACCAAACGAATCAATAATTATCATTTTTTAATTATAATTTAATTCAAAATGAATTACCTAGAATATTATGTGTATTCAAAATTAATCATTGAAAACATGCACCAATTACATGACATGAAGTTCAAAAAGTAACAATGTTAATGTTACCATTAATTAGCTTATTCAAGAATTTACTATTGTCCCATAAAAATAAATACTATTAAAAATAAATTCATTTATATGTCAAACAAAAAACATTTCTTACCTAAAAACTTATGAAATTCATTTACATTAAATAATATATTAGATTTTATTTCAAAAAATCACTATAAAATTTACATCTATATGCTATCTTCTCCAATAAAAATAAATTTTCCTTCTCCTTTTTATATTTAAATACTTTGACTTTACTATTTATTAGTTAGATCATTTAAGCTTTTTCTTACTTTGTAGTCTAACTCTAATCCAATCCTACCACTTATTTATGGAGGTTCTCCATCATAACATACATCATTTAAAATTTCCAGCGATCTGAGTGATTTTAGGAGGGATATTTTTGTCACTTAAATTATTGAGAAAAAATGCCGAGCACATTATTATTAATTAACCAATTTTATTGAATTTTAATGCATCTAAAAGATGCAAGTTCCCTATTTTTCTACCATCCCAATTCTTCCGTAAGGAAAATTTCTCAAGCTTTTTTTCTCGTACATCACTTGGGATAGTTAATAAAAATATAAAATCAGTGTTCATTGATCATCTAGGTTAACTTATATTTATCTCACTATATTTTCAGATAAATTTTGTTTTTTTAAATAAGGATAACATGTCACCGAAAAAGAGAATTGTAATTCACATTTGATTTTTATATGAATTAAATCAGCCTTAAAAGAGAAGTATCCTCCTCCAAACAATATAAAGAGGCTCCTTAAGAATGGAAGCATTGTTTGGTTATTTGGTGGTTTAGAACATCACACTTATAGTTAATAAAAAAAAATCGGGGCTCCAATAAAAAAATGGGCATATCTTTTCAATTAATATTACATATATGGTAACTTCTAAAAAATATATATATATTACATATATGGTTCAGGCTGACCCATGCTATATACATGTGTTCCCATTATCTTACATATACACGTGAAGTTTTACTATTTAGATCATGAATTAACTAGAGTTTGGAACATAAACTGAATTTTACTATAACGTTAAATGTACAAGTTCAGTTTGGAACATAAAGAATTTTTCATCAATAAAAGCACCAATAAATGAAGCATTGTAAAATTATTCTATATATTTATTAAAATTATTATTAGTAGCTGTGCTTTATTGTATCCATTTAGGTGATTTAGATTATTGTTAGTTTATTAACAGATTATGTGTATAATTTCAAGGTGCATAACTAATCCCTTATTAGTTTGTAATTAATAATATTCCATTTTTATAATCTAAATTAAAAAAATTAACTAAAAAATTAAATTTATTTTATCATATAAAATGATATATATTTTGACATATGTTGGAATAAAAAATATGTTAGTCTAGCATTCTATAGCATGATATATAATAGCATTCATGACCTATCAATTCTTCTTTAATGGTACCGATTAGGGATGGCAACAAAACCCGAACCCACGGGAACCCACCCGACCCAACCCGATCAACGCGGGTAAAATCCTTGTTGACGGGTTTTGGGCCGGGTTTGGGTTTAAACCCGTTCACTATTCACCGGGTTGGGTTGGGTTTGGGTAAACCCGACCCATGGGTACCCGCCCACACCCATATAATAATTTTCTTGGTATATTTAATATTCTAAACAACTATTCTTATTTATGTTTGTGGAGATATGTCTAATTTTTTCTTTCTAATTGTGTAGAATGAAGTTGATGTTATCGAGTGGGGAGCGAAGAAACTAAATTGGAAGGAAGGAGCTTTCAATTAATCATGTTATTTATGGATAATTTGTGATTAGCTTCAATTTTCTTGAGTTTTCTAGATTGGTGTTGAACAATTTGTATAGTTAATTTGTGATTTGCTTGTATTTTCTAGAATGGTGTTTTATATATGGATAATTTGTATTGAGAGATTGATATTTGACTTTAATTTTGATAGGAACTTGTTATAGTAAATTTTTTACGACAAAAACCCGTGGGTACCCATGAACCCGCGGATACCCAGCGGATTGGGTTTGAGTTTTACCCCGGATTTTTTTTCACGAATAAACCAACGGGTTTGGGTTTGGGTTTGGCAAAACCCGACCCAACCCGACCCATTGCCATCCCTAGTACCGATCACTACAACAATTCCTAATCATATCCCCCATCAAATTTTTGTTGGATTGTTATGAAGGTGGATCTCAAATTATTGACCAAACTTCAACTAATCTCCCAATCTTATTAAAGTCAACTTAGAACGATCATGCTACTTTTCACTTAATTCATGATTTATAGTTTAAAAATAAATCACCATAGATAGATTATGGCATTTGTGGCAGTTTTAATTATTCTCATTGTCGATCAGACGATCACTAACTTTCCTAAGCCTTTTTTTATAAATTGAGAAACCAAATTTGCATATATATAAGAAAAAAAAGAAACGCATCTACTGTAAAATAGTTAACGCCAACTGGTTATTCATTAAGTTTTCAACTATAGGTGAAAACAAATCTCATGGTTGTTTATCTGTGTTAGGAGGTCTCATGGTTGTTTATCTGTGTTAGGAAAACAAATCTCATAAATGTTCATGAGACGTAAAGTTTTAATGTGTAGGAATAGCCTATTGTGGAAAAAAATCTCATGATGTCCAGTGTTTCCAAACATATTACCATAAAACAGAGGCTTCCAATGAAAAAATAAGTAGGAATAGCCTTTCGTGAAGAAAAAGTTTACGTTAAGGAAGACAAATGCATTAGTAATTGGTGGAGATAATGTTGTTGTAGAAGGCGGAAATCTCTGTGGAAATGGAAAAGACCAAACAGGATTAAACACTTCCTTTGGTTGGTCCTTCATGACAAAGTGTTCACTAACAAGAAATCCTTACTGCAACAGCTGCCAAGATAAGGAGGAGACCATCGAGCATATACTCCGCAACTGTAGAAAATAAACAGGACTGTGGCATAAATTAAAAGACAAACTCACTTCCACCAACCTCACTTCCCCATTTCAGGAATGGCTTCTCAACAATATCTGCAATGGGGAAAAATGGGTGGATTTTGGTGTTATCTGTTGGAACCTTTGGAAGCAAAGGAATGAAGAAGTGCTCGACGGCAACAAGTTCTTAGAGCAAGGTTTGATTGGACGCATTAAAGCCTAGCTCAACATCATTGAGCAGGTTAATCAACGTGACTTAATTACTACCAATCTGCTGGTGAGGAGTTACAGCAACAGCCAAATCGCGTGGAAACCGCCAGAGGATGGATGGATTCAAGTCCAAGCAGATGGTTCTCTATCACCATCGGGTAACGCTGTTGTAGGTGGTCTCGGGACCATCTCGGCGGATGCAAGCAGGCCTCCATTTGTAACCTTGACAAGTGTACTATTACCACTGCAGAGTTGTAAGGCGCACTTGAAAGGTTGAAGATTGCTTGGGAAGGGGGCCACGGGAAGGTGGAGCTGAACCTGGATTCGGCTACTGCTGTGAGCATCATCAAGAACCACCTGGATTATGACCATCGCCATGGCACTCTAGCTAGACAGTTTACTCATCTTCTTAATCTTGATTGGGAAGTGAAAATCTCTCATGTGTTTAGAGAGGCTAATTTTGCTGCTGACTACCTAGCTAATAGGGACCGCTATGTAATTTTGGTACACATCGTTTCAATGTGTCCGACCTTGAACTTGGCCATTGGCTTCGCCATGATATCGTGGGTATCTCCCATGATTGTTTAACCCTTAATACGAATTAAACGCCACAACGTTGATCTTTCTACAAAAAAAAAAAAGAAGGCAGAGGCAGAGCGATCACAAGAAATTCAAAATGAAATTTGCAATAATTGTTGACATCGAGTAGCAAATAGTGTGGTTGTTTTATTAAATTTTTAAGAGTAAATTTCCTTGCGTGCTTTTGTTTTTTACTTTGATCAAGGACTTCAGTCAATAAATGGGGTCATCATTTTTTTTTACAAAAGATAATCATATATTGATTCAAAAAATAGACAGTTACACCCTGGAAGACAGCCAGGTCTGAAAATCAAAAGAACGACTCATGGCCGGGTACAAAGAAATGGCTTTTCTAGCCATCATGTTGAAAATTATATGAGTATGATATTTCCAGTAACTAGATGATTTGAAAATTTTATGCTATGAAATAAAACATGTCTTACTTCAGACAAGTACTAAGGTTATTTATACTATTATTGAAATTCATTCGGCCAACGGGCGGGCCCAAACCTAATTTAAGTGATAGCCAAATACTCCAAACTTCCCTTACCTTTCTTACCGCCATCGTGGCCCTCCATAAACACGCTCCGCTTCTTTTTTTTTTTTGCGCTTCTCCTCTACACTGCTGCAGTTGGCATGCAGTCCTATAAATTTTATAATTAGGATAATAGTTAATCAGATTTTAATTGGTTGTGTGTTTAGGTGATAATAATTGTGTGCTAGATTAAATTGTAACCAAGTTCTTTTTTTGCCTTTTTGTGAACGACCCTGGACGCCATTTTTCACTTCGCCGCAGGTGGGTAGTGGTGGCGGCAGCCGGTAAAGACAACAACGGTAATAAGATTTTAATCGTGCAAACATTTTTATTTTACTCGTTTAGAATAAAATATATTCTAACAATAAAAAAATAAAAGGATAAAGATGTATTTCTAATTTTAAATTTAGGACGATTTAAATAAAGTAATGGCGACGTTTAACAATTCCCGTAGTGTAAGTAAAACCATATCATACATCAAACAAGTATATAGAATTTAGCAATTCCCGTAGTGTAAAACCATATCATAGTAAACTATTCAAGTTCTTAAAGCAAATCCATGAACAATAGTGACAAATTGTACTACTTGGTGCCTAATATGAAATTCAACTCACATTATTAGTTAATATATGATAGATTCAAACATGAAATATTCCTCCCTGATGCAAACTACTCGAAAACCCCCACGATGGCAGCGCACTGGACACCAAACCACAGCTCTTCGTAGAGGTCCTCGATCACCTAGTTGCTGATTTCGAAATTGCAAGCCTCGTGCCCAACCCACACCAGATGTAACTCAAGAAAGGCGGAATCGTAAATCAGTGAGCGAGCCAGGACCTTCTTACTCCTCCCACCGAGCACAACCTCAGCCACTCTCTTGCTGTCATCGCAAAACGCAAAATGGGAGTGCTCCAACAGGTAAGCCAGCTTCTGTAAACCAAGGAAAATGACAAAATCATGTCAAATCTCACTACAAATAAACGCGAGCAATGAGAGAAAATTAAATAGTTCTACAGTTACCGACTTAGTGACTTACATAGGAGGTATGAGTCGTCATTTTGATCTTAGAGCAGGAGAAGAAGAAGACGATCTGCAAAAAAAAACGAACAGGAAACGATTATAAACAGCAAAAACCAGATAGTCCTCTTGGCGAAAACAACGACCGGAAATCAAGTAGCATCCACTCGAAAAAGGAAAATTAGAAAGGAACGGCAAACAATGTAAGCAGAAGAAACTAAACAGATCTAGATTCTACACTAAAACTAACTCCGCCGTCGCAGACTGACGTCGCCGGAGAGAAAACCAGAAATTGTTCGTCGGAAACAACGATGATTGAGTTCGTCGGGAAGAAAAACAGACGAAAAAGTTGGAACAAAAACACACTATGACAATTTCGTCGGGGAAGAGACGACGGGAAAACCTTTGTTGCTTTCTGACGAAGGAGACGAAGGAGGTGAGTATGGTTTTGCAGAGAGAGCGAGTAAGCGTGACTGACAGTAGATTTTTTTGGGTCTCTAATATAGAGGAAGAGAGGAGAGAAGGAGGGAATTAGTTTTCTATTTTGTTTTTTCAGTTTTCATTTTTCATTTTTCATTTTTTGGGGGCTTAGTTGCCTTATATGCCCTTTGGCTGAACGAATGAAAGGGACGAATTCTGGAATGTTCCCCCTAAGGGTGACAGGGCCCATAGGTAAAATACTCGGCTGCCACGTCACCCGGACACGTCACCCCGACCCAATCCAAACGGCGCTCCGCTGCCCAAACTTCACGGCGAAACCTCTCCTTCCGTCACTTTTCTGGTTTCTATGCTTCTCCCTGCTTCTCCTTCATTTCGTTAGGGTTTTTCCCCCGATCTCTCAGCATTCCCCGACCGTCATCCTCCGCGAAGCAGCTGCTCTCCACTATCGAGTTCACTCTGCTCGCGCCTTCGTCTCCATCGCCTGCGCAGAGGATGGAACTCCTCTCTGCCATTCGCGCATCTCTGCCTTCCTCCTCGGTTACCCGGTACTTCCGCCTCTAACTCTGACGAATTACAGCATTGCATACTTGATTTCGTTTCGAAGTAGAATCCTGTGAATCTCTCGAGCCGTTAAGTTAAATCTGGTGGAAATTTGCTTTCTCCTTTCTGTAGCCTCCGAAGCAGTCAGACCGTGCCCAAGTTCAGTCCAAGGAAGTTCGGCTGCCGGATTCTCCACCAATTTCACTAGATGATCAGGACGTGCAAATTGTGTGTTCTGGTACTTTGTTTGGTTTCTCGGAGAATTTTATTTCGTTTGAGTTAAACAGATATTTGCTGTACTTTGTACGAGCAGAAGTGTCTCTTGATCTTTTGCACTTTTTGAATAAGCATTTCATGCTCTGTTGGGATTCTCATTCCGAGTTAAGTTTTGCTTGTACTAGCCAGTATCAAATATATGCATTCTGTTCTTTACTTGACACTCAGCGATGAGTTGTACTGTAGGCCTTGAAGTAGAGTGATGATCTCCATCTGAATGAGATAGAAGCTGCTCAGTTGATTGTATCTGCCAACCAAGAGGTCTGTTCTTATCAGTTGCTTTAGTTTTGTGCTTTCTCCTGTTGTTGTTACTGTTACACAAAATGCAGGTCGTATATCTTTGTTCATGTTGGTGTTTTTGTTCTTCTACTTATAGTGGTGTTTGATGGGACGAGAGCCATCAATTTTGCGGTGGACTTTGGTATACTGAGAGACGAGATCTACTAACAGCACTCTATACACTGTTTACGGTACCTCTCGTCTACTTCAAGTCATTTTGGCAGCTCGATGTGATTCCGAAGCAACTAAGTTTCCATGTCCTTTCTCTTTCCCAGGCTTTTGTTCTTGATCAGGATCTTCCAGCAAAACTTCTGTCAGAGATTCAAAAGCATATGGAAGATCTGATCAATGGTGGTCTTAGGCAGCAGTTAATTTCTCTAATAAAGGTTTGACGCATCAATTTTTTTTCTTGATATTATACGAGTAACCACATGTGAAACATCTAAGTGAAGTCTTCTTGATATTAGGAACTAAATCGTGAAGAACCAGCTGGTTTAGGTGAACCTCGCAGTGAACCCTATGTTCTTGATTCTAGAGGCGCCCTTGTTGAGCGTCGAGCGGTTGTCTGTAGGGAGAGACTTGTGTTGGGACACTGCCTTGTCCTTTCAGTTCTGGCCATTCGGACAGGTAAGTTAATATATTGTTATTGTCATAAACTTTTAGTTTTTTCTTCTTCTATCCATTTGTTTCTTTGCTCTTTCATGTTTGGTTAAGTTTTCATGGTGCATGCGTGACTGTTTGAACTTGGAAGTATAGAGAATCTCCTCTTCCTGCTGGAATTGTTGAAACATATTGAGTCTCCATAGCCCTTTCATTGCTCTACTATCATTGTTATGCCAACCAAGTTGAGTATTTTAACCCCTCAAAATTTTCCTTGTTATTGAGAGTAGAAACATCACAGTAGCTTTTTTGATGTGGTACTTTTCCTATAAAGATGGTTCCAGTTGTAGTTGTCGGAGTTCGAGTACTTGGTAGATTGGCATGGAAAAGCATAGTAAAGCACAAGCTCTTATGATTCACTTATTTTCAGGTTCGAAAGACGCCAAGGATATCTTTCAGGTTTATAAAGATAGCGCTGCTGAACTTACGGAGGACAGTAGCACATTGAAACGCCAGGTTTGGCTCTTTCTTTATCATTGCTTCTGAAATGTGGATTCTGTTTTCACTATTTATTAGCTGATGTATCTTTATTGGTAACCAAGCTGATTGCATATATAATCTGCATGATTGCATGTTTCCTGCAAAACTAAATGTACCTTAAAGTTAGGTTCAATGTTTGTCTATATGCATGTGTCACTCATGGAATTTTATCTCATATCTTGGAACAACGCTGCTGCTTGTTTAACATATTCTTCTGTCTTCCCTCGCTGCAAATAACATTCAGTCTTTTCTTCAGTTTTTTCATTGCGGTTGTATCAGATGCCCTTAGTGCAGTCTCTGAAATGGCACCGCTACTGGCTCGTGATGCCACATTTAGGAAAGAATTCCATGAAATAGTAAGACAAGCAATGCCTTTTGAAATTAAAGCTCTACAGATGGGCATTAGTTAGACATCTGAAAGTCCCTGTGATTGAATTTCCAGGTGAGGTCCTCAGGCAGTGATTTAAAGATAGAGGGTTTTATAGGAGGTGTACGGCTCGCATGGTCTGTGCATTTGATGTTAGTGCTTGATGGGGGTTCTCAAAGTGAGGGGCTTCAGTTAATGCATCATATCTTTTAGGATATCTGAATTCTTGCTTGGAGTCTATTTTCTCAAACAATGTTTTCCAGTTCTTAACTGAAAGCATCCCTCGAATTGCAGGCTACCAGGTTTGTACGTTGCTTCATTCCTTTTTTCTGTATTGATTATTTGTGCATATTTTCATTATTGATATTCAGTCTGGACAGTTAAAGGAATTACGTTATCTCTTTCCGGTGGTGTCTTTCTTTTGACAAGTTAGATACCCATGAAATTTGGTTTTATTTGTCATAAGCCCATCATTGATTTTTTTCTCAGTTAATTTTTTCAGGAAGGCTTCCCTGCATAATGATTAATGGGTGTGTCTGAGATCATTTGTTTTTATTCTATGATCACTTCATCACATTGCTTTTGAAAATATGGCATCGTCTATTTTTTTTATTTCAGCTCTTCATCATGGACTCCTAGATTCCAATGTCCATCCAATGTCTGTTTAGTTTGTAGAAGTCAACTTAAAAAATCTGAGCTGTGCTTTGTCTCTCATAATTTAATGATGACGAGGATGTGGTTTATATGTACAATGCATACCTCCACAAGCTGATCACTTCTTATCACATCCACTTGCGAGGGACAAGGTAAGTCTGGCTGCTTTGTCTTTCCTTCAGTTCTCATTGCCTCGTTGGAATGAATATAGTAACATGGAGAGTGCAGTTTTGTTAGTGTTTTAAGTTTTGTACTTTATCTACCAACTCATCATTAGTCTCATTGACAACTTTCTGATTGCACGTGAAGGTTAAAGAGTCAAAGGACAAAGCTATGAGTTTGCTTAATTCGTATCGTGTGGCTGCCTCACATGGTTTGGCACATGATGGGAGCTATCTGTCTCAGTCATCCATTGAATCTAGGAATGTGCCATTTGTATCTCTACTGGAGTTTGTCAGTGAAATATATCAGGTTTGTTGCATCACTCTTGAAGGTTTTTCAGGAGAAAAAGGAATTGGAGTTTCCTTGGTTCAGAGATTCTATTGATTATTTGTTTAGGCTAATGTTAAAGAGTTACAATTTCCAAGAAGCACCAATCAATTCTGATGCTGACTGCACTAGATGATATAGATTTGTTCTAAATATTTTAATAAGTTTGGTCCTTCATGATTTGTCATACATTTTCTGTCCTATTTGCCGAATGAGCCAGAGCTGTTGTCTGGAAATGACGTGATATGGACATTTGTGAATTTTGCTGGAGAGGATCATACTAATTTCCAAACACTTGTGGCTTTCTTGAATGTGCTTAGCACTTTGGTAAGTCACTTTTGTTTCAGGTCGAATTTGATTGCTGTATTACCTTGATAATATTGATTGAATTTCAAAAGATCTGCCTTTTAATGTGTTGTCTGTTTTCAGGCATCCAGTCACAAAGGCGCTGCAAAAGTTTATGAGCTACTTCAAGGCAAAGCATTCTTCCCTGTTGGGTGGAGCACTTTGTTTGATTCCTTGTCTATATATGATGAGAAGTTCAAACAAACCCTTCAGACAGCTGGCGCCATGTTACCAGAATTTCCAGAGGGGGATGCTAAAGCACTTGTTGCATATCGGAATGTTCTTCAAAAGGTTACAATTTGATTTGTGCTTTGAGTATTCTACTTCTTTTTGTGTAGAACTTGTTGCATGCTAGTGGAAGTGCTTGCTCCACTATCAGTTTTGAGAAGGTCAAGCATATGCAGATCCTCTTGAAAAATGGCAATTGGTGGTTGCTTGCCTTCAGCATTTCCACATGTGAGTGGACAACTTTTTTTTCCCCCTTTTCTTATAGCCTGCGGGGATATATTATTAGTTTAAGAGAAATGCATTACAATCTTGAATCAAAATAAGAACCAAAAAAATGGGTGGTCTCGTGAACCAGACCTCGACCCATCTCAGTTGCAGTTTACCCGGGCCATCAAATGGGCTGCCCGGTTTCCATCTCGTCCCCAGAACCTCCACCCCACGTTCCTCATTTCTTCCCCCCTTCTAATTTCTTCTCAGATCCCTCCTATTTCCAGTCGACTCTCTTCTTCCTTATCCAATTTCTGGATTATTGACATGCAATCCGTCTCCATGAGGATCAGGTCGAAGTTGTGAGCTCGGGCAAGGTTCATTGCTGTGAGCGGACAACTTCATTCATGCTTAATTGTGCCAAAGTTTTCATAGTTGAGAAAAGCTTATTTGCTGATATTTTTCTTAGAATTGAATTGGTTATTCACTTTCTTCCTCATATATTTTCAATTCTTCTTAGTAAGCTTCTATGGCCCTGGACTGATTGTTCTCACACTTGGTTGCAGTTCCTAGCAACATATAGTTTCTGGTTGCAGCTTTTGGGCAACTGGATGACTACATTAGTTGCAGATGTTATTGCAGTCTCAAGCTACTAGTAATAGTTGTCTAATTGGTTGCTTCGACAGGATGCTGAGCATGTATGGCATTCAAGATGATGGCATTGATAGTGTTGTTAGTCAGTCACAGCTTTTGACAGCAGCACAAGTGTCTCAGCTTCATATGCAGCTTCCTGTCCTGGAGTTGCTGAAGGTAACTCTCCAATTATCTCTTCCCTGCCCTTTTGTTTCATGGTAGCATCTTCATTTAAATTTTGGAAATAATGTAACTCTCCTTTTCCAGTTCCATATCACGTGGGGGCATCAACAGCACATTCGGGAATATCTTTTTGGGTTTAAGAGTACGATTCCTTGAGAACCATGCTTGCTTTCTATGTTTTGAGCCGGCTAGTAACTTGTATGCTTACCATTATCTTACTGGATAGGTTCGGTCAGCTGGTTGTGCATCATGCTGTAGTGTCAACGGGAAGATGTTATGGCTCAATACTTTCTGTGAATGTGTGGCTATAGATGAAGTGTGCCTCAGTGTAGTTTTCTTTGTTTGGCAGGATTTCATGAGTGGCAAGACCGCTTTCCGAAATATTATGGGCATCCTTATGCCAGGAGTCGAATCCATGGACAACTAGTGGAAAAAGCTGTTCGGTTTTCTTTAGAAATTATAATGCTCATCTTACAAAAAGACTTGCTTGTTTCTGATTACTGGCGCCCCCTGTACCAGGTAAATTTCAAAAGTTGTTTACCTGATGCAACTGCTACTTTATTGTGCAGTTTGATACTATTATGGTCTTTCAAGTCTACCTCAACTTAAATTATCAACATTTCATGCTTGAAGTCATTTGAGCATTCCTTGTGCTTTAGCTTAAGTAATTGAAGTTGCGAACTTTTATGCATCGTTTGGAAGTTGCGATTGTTTTGTTGAGATTGTCATTATACATGTATTGTTTACAATGCATCGTTTTTTGAGTGATTGTTATATCTCAACTTTTAGTTGTGATTGTTGAGATAGTTGAGTTGAGATTGTTTTGTCTCAGCTTTTAGCTGACGCGACATACACAATCACACATACCAAACGTTGTATTCTACAATGCATTCTACAATGCATCAAATTCGACAATACATGTATAATATTATACATGCATTCTCATCAATACATCTATTTAACAATCGCAACTTCCAAACGACCCCTGAAGTTCATTGAATTTTGACTGAAATCTTATTCCCGAATCTTAATGCATTGCTGGTACTCACTCTCTCTCTTGCTCGCTCGTTTCCTCGCTCATTAATTTGTTTATTAAATTTACTAAAAGTTGTATTTTTATTATTTCCTTGCTCTGGGATTTACATTTATTTTCCAATGGATTGTAGTAATACACCAAAACAGAGGCAAGGGAAGGAAAAGGATATTAGAAGCCTATATAGGGCTGCAAAACTTTACATTCCAAGAGAACTGAAAAAACTTGCAGCTGAAAGAAGGCAAATAACGTTATTTATTTGGAAAAGTAATGAAACAGTACCCATCTCTTGTTCTATGTTGGTTGGTACGAGAACTTTAGGTGCATGTTGCAACATTCTTCCTCTTATTGGTGTAACCCTATCTGAGATTTTTTTTATTTGATATGGTAAAACTATTCGGTGCATTCCAGTTGATAGTCTGTTGTTTGATGATCTTTCTGCAGCCTTTGGATGTCATACTATCTCAAGATCACAATCAAATTATTGCACTGCTCGAGTATGTCAGATATGAATTTCTTCCACAAATTCAACAGTGCTCTATAAAGATAATGAGTATTATTAGGTATGCTCAGTTTCTCGCCGAAACCTTTATTGTTTTTCAAAGTTGTTTTACACCTGTTTCTGTTCCTTTCTGCTTATGAATTTCAGTTGCAATAATTTTATTCGGCAGTTCTCACATGTCTTGAGTTACGGTCTGAAGAGTGCCAGCTTATAGAAAATAGTGCCGTTGATCCAGGAGTCCTTATAATGCAGGTGAGTTTCTACTACAAAACCGTCTAAGCCCTGAGTGTATTCTCAGAATCTAATATGGAAGTCCCCAGCTTCTGATATAGATAATATTGGTCGGCCTGCTCCAAATATCACACATCTGCTTCTTAAGTTTGATGTTGAATTGTTGATGGCTCAGTTGAACGGACAGTTCTTCAACCAAAGTTTCACTACAGGTACTTGTTTTGAAAAATACCTAAAAACACTCTTGATTGCTTGTGCTATTATGTTTCTGACCCTTTATGTTGCTGTCACTTTGTAGTTGCTTGAAGGTTACTCTTGAAATCTTGGAGAATCTATCGAAGCCAGAAATAAATGCTTTACTTCATGAATTTGGTTTCCAGGTTGCTACTGCCTTCTTTGGGTTTCTTGTCATTGTGTGATATATCATGAACCTAGACACTCTATTTCTTAAGTTTACAGCATGGGATATGTCCCTAACTGAATGCTGGTGCAGCTGCTTTATGAGCTGTGTTCAGATGCAATAACATGTGGTCCTGTTGTGGATTTGCTCAGTAACAAAAGTATCAGTTCTTTATTCAGGTATTGATGGATTCTGAATCAAAGATCTTGACTGCCACTTCCTTTGTTATCCGCATGTTATTTGCTGGACTTCTTTCCACATGAACTTCCTCTGTTTATTTACAAGATAGGTATACCTTCTGCTCTCTGTCTTACACCTGCTTCAGGTTTGGGCTAGGCAAATCCGGTTTTCCTTTTTTTTTTTTTTTTTTTTTGCTAGCTCTTCGGTATCTGAAGCTGCTAGCCTGCTAGTGCTCCGAAAGCAATTATGTGGTCATTTGGTGTCAACTCTGGAATGGCTCGAGGTCGAATCGAATTAGGGTTTTAACTTTTCCCTTTTCTCCTTTCCCCTTTCGGAATAAGGCTTCCGAACTCCGAACTACTTCCAAGTTCCAATATTATCTATATAAATATGAATGAAGTTCCGACATCAGCATTTCAAGCTAATAATTTTTGAGAATAAGAATGGAACGAGATTCTTACTTTGGCAAATTGCCGGCGGAGCTACTGGGCAAGATTGCCGCCGCGCTGCCGCTGAACGAGGCGGCGAGGACAAGCGTCCTCTCCCGCCGATGGCGGAGTCAGTGGTGGTCGGAATTGCCGAACACCCACTTCGCCGGCAACAGCACCACCAAGTTCGTGCCCGGCGGTTACCCAGTCTCGTGCTTCGACACCGTGGGTGAATTCCTGAGCTGGGTCGACCAGGTCATCCGCCAGCGAGAGCCCTTCCCCCTCCGCCGCCCGACCCGCGCCGTGCGGCGGTTTCGCCGTACCGACTTCTCGATCGACTCGCTGGGGCTGAATTTCGATCCGGAGGATCCCGATTACGGATGGATCGAATTCAACAAGGACAGATCCAAAACCACGGCGCCGTTGGTGGACGGCGCTTGCACCTGCTGCCGCTCCAAAGTCGTGTCTTTTCTAAGCCGCCGGCAGCCACACGGACTCTCCCTGAGCAGGGTTTTGTCGGGAAGAAGGCGGACGGAACTGCTCAAACACTTGACCCTGCGGAACTGCGACATGGACATCCTCAGGGCCCAATTCCAATTCACCATCGAATGCGGAAGCTTTAAGTAAGATGATTGAATTGAACCACCGTGTCCAAACATTTGGGGTTTCTTCATTAGCGCGCTAAGTTAACCAACTATAAATCTCTTTTCATTGCTTTTTGATATGATCAATCAGGTGTCTGAGTTCCCTGGTGGTTCAAAAGGGGCGGTTGATAGAGGTGAGATTCCTTGCCAAGTTTATATATTGTTGCCCGGAACTCCGGGAGTTGACCTTGGAAGACTGCAGCATCGTCGACGACAGTACACCGACATACCCCGGTGGCCGGCTGCTCATCATGACCGGTACGATGGTGCGTTTGAGATTGACTAGATGCAGTGGGTTCGAAGAGATTATGTACTTATTCGGTCAAGGAACAAGATATGCTTATCCATCGGCGATCCACCAGGAGACGGTAGAATACCACTTTGCTGATCGGGTCAGAACACCGCCGCTGCCCGAACCGCCCCAGAGACCTGAACTTGAACTTGAGATGCCACCCTTTATGAGGGATGCCTTGTTGATGCGCAAGTTGCGGTTAGAGAATGACGTTGAAGAGGAGATTGATATGCCTGATGAAGAGGAAGTTGCCTTCAACTTTTATGATCGATTTGATCGCAATTAGTTTTAAATTTATTAGTTATTATCATTATGTCTCGTGAGAATTCTTGTTTAAAATGTATCAAACCATAAAAACTGATTCCCCCATCATTATTTTTTTTTTATCATGTCATTTTAGATGATGATGATGATGATCTGTTTTGGTGAATTTTGAATCTGTGTTATACTAACATCTTTGGCTGTGGTAGAGGCAATATGGACCACAACCAAGAATTTGCATCAATTTTCATTGACCAGGCATGGGCAAGAAAAGAATGGATGTTGCTGGCAACCAACTTGAACCAAGCTTATAGGTGAGCCTGAAGAAGTCTGTTGGTTATATCGTTGGCCTTCCAGTATGAAAGCAGCTATTATAAAATTTGATGCCAAATGATCCTGCCGTCATGGATCGCTTGGTGCAGTATACATGCTAAGTATTCTCCTTGTGTCTTTCATTGTTGGAGTTAATGAGAGCGCATCTGGGTACAGCAAGCCATATAGCACTACTCTGTGAACGTAGGAAAGTCTTTGCATGATGTGAGCCTAGTTGCTCATCTTGCAGTTGTTTATGTTAAGTATGAATCTGCATTCAAGCTTCCTGACCCTAGTTCTGTTGTGTCTAGTTCATAGTCAATGTATCGTTCTGTTAGAAGCATCTTGTTGTAAGTTAATTGATCTTCTGAGTTCTGAATACTTTTAGGCATTATTGTGTACTCATCTTCAGGAAATTTAGTCTCCTAAGTTCCGGTACAGAATTTCTTTGTCTTTGCTCTTCAAGGTTCTCTAGGTTACTACTGTGTTTCTGCTATTCATTCCCCCAGTTTTCTGACGCTAATTCGTTCTCTCCAGGTAGCACCTCTGCCTCTCTGATTTAGCGGCGGGACATCTTAACCTTGCGGGAAGATATGGGAGTATTCCGAGCCTGTGCCAGTTCATTCACTCGTCTGTGTGGCCTGAAAGTTCATACAATGTTGGATCGGCGGAACATGGGCTGCTGCACTTACAAGGGTTACTCTAAAAAATGTTGTTGTCTGAACCTTGTTTGGCATGAGATTGAAGGCGAAAGTTTCCCATGCAGTCTTCCCTTTCATTTTGAGCTGCAACTCAGCGCGGCCAAACTCATTGTTTGTTCTGCAATAAATTCGTTCCATGTGATTGTTTCATGGTGAGTTTTCCGTTGTATGGGCGGCTTCGTTCGCGCTAGTAGAGTTGCTGTTGAAAGCAGAAGCAAGATATGAGAGACAATAGAAATGTAAAAAGCTAATTGTGGTAACATTGGCTGCCTGGATTGTGTTTTATTCTAACTTGTTACCAATAAAACCAATGCAGGGTATAGCTTCTGATGGACAACCCTATATATTTACGGTCTTCCTGCTGTGCAAAGACGAGACGGTTTATCTCTTTAGGGAATCTAGACTCGCGAGTGGAATGTGCAACTTCACGACGGTGCTTTTATTAAAAAAAAAAAAAAAAACATTTTATCCGTTGCAAAGTTGCAACTGTTTCTGACGAGTCCTCGGAAGGAACGAGCTCTCTGCAGGGCTTCAGTTTATCAGTACATCAGCTCACTGCACTCTGTTTCTCCAATCAAAAAGACACGGAAGAGAGATCCGGCAACCCGTTTCTTCAATTTCCCAGATCCAATCTATCTCCCAATTCTTTCCCGTTAAATTCTACCCACCTCCATAGCTTTCCCGGGGAAAATTTTCCAGTGTGGAAGAAGATCCTCGAATTCGTTCATTCCCCCTCACCCATGGCAAATGCCTGGAGAAGAGAAAGCAGCAGGCACCCAAAGCTTCTCTCTCCAAAACCGCTGCTCCTCCTTCTCCTCTCCCTTTCTCTCCTCCTACTCTTCCTCTTCCTCGCTTTCCGTTCCCCTTCAGACCCCAATCTCACGCCATCACTCTCCCTTTCCAATCCTTTCCCAAAACCCTATCCAATCCCCACTTTCAACTGCTTCGATTCGCCGCAAGCTCACCCTGTGGTCGCCAACTTGGTCGAAAATGTCAAGTACCCTTTCCTCTACTCGCTCCCGGATTTCGGATCCTTGCCCGATAAGCCCCACAAGAACCTCGTCCGGCTGCTGAAGGGGAAGCTGTTTCGGAAGCCTGATATCTCCGCCACGATTCAGGGGATTCTGGAAGGGATGAAAAAAATGGAGGGGAAAATCGATGGCGGGTTGTTTGTGGATGTTGGAGCGAATGTGGGAATGGCGAGCTTTGCGGCTGCGGTTATGGGGTTCAAGGTGCTGGCTTTTGAGCCTGTTATCGAGAATTTGCAGAGGCTCTGTGACGGAATTTGGTTTAATCGAGTTGGGGAGTTGGTTACTGTTTTTGAAGCTGCTGCTTCGGATCGTGTTGGCAATATCACTTTCTACAAGGTAATTGGACCTTGTTCTTAGTTATAACTTCTATGTCACTGTGCTGATGATTTGATTGGCTGATTAGAAGGATTGAACATTTCCCACAGTAGTAACTAGTAAGGATTTGTGTTTGGAAGAACTTAGTTCAATAAAATATGATTAGCTGTAGATCCTGGCAAGCTTGGAATCCTTGGCTTATGAGTAATAGATTGAGATGAAACGGAAATGAGAAAACTAGCTCAATCAGAGTGCAATAAAGTTTATTTTTTTTAATGATGTTGATAATTATAAGAAGAGTGTGGCTGAACTGTCCATTTTCTGCACAAATTTGGTTAGCTAGGCACTGTGGCTTGCAGATGTAGATGGGTTCTTTAGGTCTGTAGATTTCTTTTACTATCGCCATGGCTGCTTTAGGCAGAATCTAAGTTGCAACCTTCAACCCCTGAATGCTTGTCCTAGCAGGAGCTGGCTTGAATGGCTGTATGTATAAACATATATAAGTGGATAAGCATAACTTACTGATAACCATCTCAACATAATGAATCAACAATCTTCGTTATAATAGTTTTAAGGCATAAAATATGCACCTTGAAATTTCGAAACCATACCGGTGACTAAATCAGCGAGACTAGTAGTTTTAAGGGATAATAGATGTATCATAACAAAATTAGTGTAGAACGGTTATAAAACCTCGATAAAGGCTTGATCAATACTACATGGTTGAACAGTTACAACCGATCAGTTCAGTACCGCAAAAGCTAGCATAAACTGTCATAGGTACTAGAATCCATCATTATTAATCCTCCGAGAATACATAGTATGCACTAAGATGCCAATGTTTTTCCTTCTTTCATGACGATTCTATTCGAGGCAAAGCTGCATGCAATGCAGTCAGTCGTCCCTTAACTTTTGTTTGGTTGCGTATCAGTTGGTAGGGCGACTCGACAACAGTGCTATCTCTGCCACTGGTGCAAAACTGGCGTTCAAGTCGAATGAGGAAGTAGCAGTTCAAGTAAGGACCATCCCACTTGATGACGTAATCCCTGAGTCACAGCCTGTGCTTCTGCTCAAAATAGATGTCCAGGGCTGGGAATATCATGTCCTCAAAGGAGCCTCCAAATTACTATCGAGGAAAAAGGGTGAAGCCCCATACATCATCTACGAAGAAGACGAGCGCCTGCTTCGAGCCAGCAATAGCAGTGCCAAAGAGATCCGAGATTTCCTGCAGACCGTTGGCTACCATGATTGCACACAGCATGGTACAGACGCCCACTGCACTAAGGGTTAGATGTCAGAGTTTTTGGTTGCTTGATGTAGAAAGCAGATATTCCATGACTCATTATTTATCGAGGATCTCATTTCTTGCAAGTAGATAAATGAGGGAAGATGATCATTTGCTTGCGAGTTGTTGTACATTTGAGTTTGATTTATTAGAAAGAACTGGATAAATGAGGGAAGAGTAGGGTAAAAGTTCGTATTCAGAGTTTTATTCTATATCCATGATTGGTGTAGTTAGAGTAACAAATATTCGATGTACAACTAATGAATGAATGAATGAGAGAAACTGTACTCTTTCTGCCATTCTATCCATATATATGAGCATTCGATTTGGTCGATATGCTTCTCGATCAGTAAATTGAACATCTATTTTGTCCTGCAATGCAAATACATCTGAATCAAACATTGACAGCTATCCAGAGACACTGATCCCTTCTCTGAACCATGAAGGATGGTTGGATCATCACCGCAGCACTGAAGCTTTGCCAGCATCATTTTGGTGCACTGGTTTTCGAAGGGCCAGCTCTCTCCACCATAACATCATAAAGCTGTTTGCCATTCTGTTTACAGGAAAGACCATGGATCAAAGTCAAGGAAATGAGACCAAAAACCAGAGGATGGCTTTCTATAAAGTAAAATAAGCAATACTTAGGACTCCAAAACCGATTTTGGTAAGATAAGCCTCCATTAGCATCACTTGGAAGCTGGAATAATCTTAAGATCTGTTGTTACTTACAAAAATGATAGGGAAGAAGTGGATTTGGCCTTCAGGTTTTGTTTGTTTCTCCTTAAAGTACACCAGGATAGGGAAGCTAGGCCACCATAGTTCCCAGTTGACAAAACTAGAATACCTGTTTGCAGAAGATCAAACAAGTCAGTGGCCTTATTCTTTACCTCCATTGAAGCATATAATAGAAGCACTGACAGAGGTACTTACTTCCATCGGTTCTTCCCACCAATGAATACATTTTCGCCTGATTCCTCAAGCTGCTCTCCTACTTTCACCTCCTACGATCACAGAAAATCAAACATTCTCGGATTAGCCAAAGAAACTGGAAGACATTGAAGATGTTGGTAAAAAGGCGAGTGAACTAACCAAGGCCTCATTGTCAAACACAAATCTCACCCGGGTAGTCTGGTAGAAAGAGAAACACAACAAATCAGCTGAGATCAATGATAAGCACCACAGTTCTGTATTTCATCGACCTAATCAACATTATGTTTCATCATATAAATCTCACCTGAAACAAGAGAAGCAATCCAAGCAACCCAACGGGTACAGCTGGTACAAGGTTATCTGTATAGGCTAAGCCACCAGCCATACCTGTTTCAAATTGAAGCATTCATTTAGCTTTTGTGTTATGAATAAGAGATTCAATTGTTGTTTAGAATGAACCATCCATATAGAGCGAGCGAGAGCGAGAGAGAGAGAGAGAAAGAGAGAATGAAGATACCAAGAAGAACAATGGGGATCCGGTAGTCAGGATCAGGGATTACAGTTTCTTTCTTCTGTGCTCTCCGACCAAGCTGTGCGAAGAACCCATACATTAGCAGCAAAAAATTGCCTTCAGTTATTATTTATCGACTTAGTTCAAATGTAAGGAAAACACAAGCAAATTTGGAAGGGTTTAGAGTTACAGACCGCTGAGGCAACAACTGCAGTACGGGTACTGCCTTCTCCTTGGGTTCTGTTGAACTGAGTCCTTATACGATAAGGATTACACAGCAGTTTCCCATAGATTGAAATCCTCAGGTTCCCGAAACATCCATTCTGCTCACTATCTGCTTCTAAACAGAATTGAACAGAGAAGATAACACAGTAAGTAACACCAATAGAAATGAAGTAATAGACCAAACGTATCATCAGCTACCTAGTAACAGTAAAGAAAAATCAAGTAGGCGCGAGCTTTTTTCCGAGTAAGGCCTAAAGATTCTTACTTTGTGAAGGTACGAAGCACGAAATCGATAAGAGAGCACTCGCCATGGCTTCTTCTGTTCTCTTGCTTTTCAGAGGCGAAAGGATTCCTCTGTTTCTCTTCCCCTGGTGAAATTTTTTTGGCGTGAAAATTGGTTTGTCTTACGCTCTTACCCTTAGTTTCATGGTGGGTTTTCAGCAATAAAAGGGTATTTCAGTAAATGTCAGCTCAAAATTGTCATTTGTCATCCATTTTTTCTGTTCTCCAAGGAGGAAGTGAGCCTTATCTGGTTAATTCATATCCAGAATTCGTTTAAACCCACAAAGACCTTCTTGTTCATCTCATTCCAAAGACTCGAGCTTTGGTTTCAGGAAAAAAAACCCATTGCTCATTTGTCTGTACAATGGCGAGTTGTTCAAGCTTCACTACCATTTGCTCTCTTAATTCTCCAGATAAACCAGGTAAAGTCGCTGCTGCATCTGTTTTTCCCCAGTGCTTACTTGGGTTCCTGACTAAATTTGTTGGCTATGGCTGTCTGAAACACAGGAATTATTGGGAATTCAGTTCCTGGGAGGGTTATTCAAGTCAGCAAAGTTTTCCAATCCTCAAAAGTTTCAAAGTCTCGGTCTTTGGAGGTCAAGGTAAAGTTATTGCTTGATACAGTTCGAGTTGGAAACTTGGATTGGTAGTCTAGAATGAAATTTGCTTGAGTTTTGCTTCAAGCAATTTGGATTGCTGTTGGTAATGTGACTGCTGCTACGTTTGAGTTGTAAGGGCCTTTGTTCTCTCATTGAATTATGCTTATGTTATAGGAATTATAGAAGATGAAGCAATGGACATATTCTGATATTAGATTCATAAAAAAAATTCTGATATTAGTAAACTTTAGGCTGGTACTATATTTGAGGCAATTTCACTAATGTTAAGTGGATAGATAAAAAGGCAGGCATTACTGATCTGGTTAACTAATCTCAGCATGTTCTTGGTTAGCTGCATGAAGTGCAAATTATTGTGTTACCAACTCTGTGGAATTTCCTGTATCCAATTGCAGAAATCAATTCTTCTGATCGGAGCTTAATCCGGTTCTATTGATACTTGCTTGATGTTTTGACTCGTTTTATCTCTTGGTGTGACAGGCGACAGATGGTAACAAAACTGTCAAACCAAGGAGCATAGTCTGTACCAACTGCGAGGGCAATGGTAAAACTCGAAGCTACATTCAGACATTCAGTGCCAACTTTGATCCTTTTTAATCCTCTTCTCCTGGTAGAATGAAAATCATGAATGTAAATTAAGATGAACTTTCCATTATACAAAAAAAAATAAAAAATTAAGATGAACCTTCACATCAAGCTTGTCCTTGTAACATGGATCATCTGTTGTCACTGAAAGCCACACACAAATTCCTCATCTCTAAGATTCCTCCACTGATGCAATATACCTGTTGGATTATGAATAATTTCAATGCGAAGTAAACTCTCTGCCTTCATACCAATTTGTTTCTGCTTTGTTCAAAATTTTCAGGGGCTGTAGCATGTTCCCAGTGCAAAGGATCGGGAATCAATTCCGAGGACCACTTCAATGGGAGGTTTAAAGCCGGTGGAATGTGCTGGTTATGCAGGTACTAACCCCTTCTCGTGCCGAGTCAATTACAGTAGCTTTTAGTTGCCCAGTGGCTGTGATGTTGTAGTACATATGCTGGCTTTGCGGGGTGATTCACGAGCAGAAATCAGCTCTCTCTAAATTACACCCCCTTTTTTTTTCATTTGCAGAGGTAAAAGGGAGATGTTGTGTGGGAACTGCAATGGAGCTGGCTTTGTTGGGGGGCTCATGAGCACTGCCGATGATTGAAAAGATGAAACGCCATCTATGTTGGACAAGTGCGGAAATGTGGAAAGAGTACAAATGTCAATTCTCTATTACAAGTCAGTCACAGAGATTAAACTGCTGTCGTGATATGATATCAAGGACGCAGATTGTAATGCAAAGCATTGTTCATGTTTTTGGTTACATTCCTTATCCAGGTTTTAGAGTGTTTGTACTCCAGCTTGTGGAGATGCGTAGTGTCTGACTTTCTGTAAGGTTTTGATTCCAGGGAGAAATACTGCAAAAAATGAATTTCATCCATTTGTTCTTTTTTGAATCAAGAACAATAAAATTTACATTTCGCGCCAGGTAGGGGTCGAACCTACGACCTTCTGCTTAGGAAACAGACGCTCTATCCACTGAGCTACAGGCGCCTTTGTTGTTAGTTAATGCAATAAATTTTAAAATACTTTTACTTTTACTGTGCATTAGACAGCTCCTTATTCTTGCTACCTGAGACTGCAAGTCAAATCGAGATCATCGTATGATGTTTTTCTTTTGATTCTACTCCTTGGAACGTGAATTCTTCCTTAGCCTGAAAAGGCAAACTTTTTATTTTACCTGGATATTGATTGACTTGGGGGGTAGAAGCCATGGATGAGCTGAGGTTGTGGTGGAAGCGTTGTAGATCTGACATTTGGGATGGCTATGGAGAGAAATTAGAAAGAGTAGGAGGGTTAGATGTAGATTCTGGAGTGGCTCCATAGCTCTTTCTTCTTATCATCTATGGTCAACTAGGTTAAGAGGGAGTGTTCGTTATTATCAATTTATCAATCACCAGAAAAAGATTTTGTTGTTCATAGAAAATTTTAAATACGATTCTCAATCATTCATCTCTATTCGTTGTAGTTATCTTACACTTTCATATTGTGCACGTATAAACTCGATGATTTTACTCGAAGAAATGAGAATGGATAACATAAATTAATATGCACTAATATGTTATCTATTGACAACATACACAAAAGATCAATTCATTTCCAAATAAAGTAAAGGCAAAATACAGCGGTATATCCACAACTATCAGGTTTGTGACAAATATATCCACAATTATCGAAATACACGAAATATTCATTTCTGTCCACTCCGTTAACTTCGTCAGTTAACTTGATGACTGGACAGACGGTGGATGCTTAGTTGGAGTGATTCTGACCCCACTAAATGACGTGGATTAAAAGAGAAAAAAATGAAATAGGCAAAACACAGTTGTATATCCACAACTATAAGATTTGTGACAAATATATCCACAACTATCGAAATACACTAAGGGGTCGTTTGGAAGTTGCGATTGTTAGTGTTGTATTTGTTAAATACATGCATTGTCCACAATACAACGTTTGGAAGTGTCAAGTTGTAAAACAATGCATGTATTGTTTTGTGTGGGTCCCACCAACAATCAACAAAAATGAGGGATTGCACAATCTCAACTTTTAGTTGAGATTGTTGGTTTAATAATTGAGCACTTTTACTTTTTCCAATTATGTCCATAGTTCTTTTTGTTTTATATTAAAAGTGGAGGACAAATATGACATTTTCTTATAAAGTAACTTTATAACAATCAATTCATAAATTATAATCTCAACAACCAAACAATGTAATTTCAAAATGCATCTATTGTATCAATGCATGCATTTATATGATAGTGATTCATAACAATACAACGATTTAACATACGCAACTTCCAAACGACCCCTAAATATCCAAAAATCGGAAGATTGTGTGACAAATCTATCCACTTTCGTTTGAAACTATAACGACGTGTCAGACGGCGTTAAATTGACTAATGGAATGTGACTCGCTATGACACAACTCCTAACAATGGCCAAGTGTAACCAATAAAAAAGGACTGCAGTATAATGGCTCAAGTAATAAATATCGAATCCACGGGTCTCTAGAGTTACTATTACTCAGCTTCAATTCATCATCTAGCAAACCAGATTAAGATGGAAGAACTAAAACTACTCTAAAAAACTACAGTTAAAGTTAATCTAATTACAGGTTGGGAACTCACTTAGGTATGATTCCCCCTAGCCACTAGCCAGATTAATGATTGATGATCTCTAACTTGTTTCACTTTCATTCACAATGCAGAGAATCCTTGACTAAACCTTGAATCTCGACCAAAGGATCAAGGCCCTCTTGAGTTAATTGCCTAGAGGGACGTATCCTTCTCTAGAACAACCGATCAAGGCGTTCTGAACTAGATTCCCTCTATCGAATGAGGTTCTCAATCGATACAAAGCATTGAATCAACCCTCGATTAAAGCAATCGATCCAATACTATCAATCTATGGTGCTCTATTGACCTAATCAGGTATTCGCTCTCATAGGATCAAAGCAGAATCAATAATCTCGACTAAAGCAGAATTGAATCATGAAAACATGCATAGATTGAATATGAACTCAAGATTATCAAGTAAGAGTACTCATACAATCATCCAATCAAATAAACATAGCTAGGGTTCATCAAAACCTAAGTGAAGGGAAGTTACTCCATAGAGAAGAGAGAGACTGCAGTAAGAATCTTCAGATGATCAGTCTTCAAGTCCGGGCTTGTTCCTCGAGCTTCCAAGGCGAAAAAAATCCTCCAATTCCACTCCAAGAATGCCCTCAAATCGCCCTCTCTCTCTTTGGTTCGCCCCATGGGTGTTTGGGATCCAAAACCCAGCTCTCCCCTGCAAAAACGCACAAAACAGGCTTTTAACAGCCTGCGTTCGCGATCCCCGATCATAATCCCTGGTCGGGTATTTCGGGTGCCCGGTCGGAGATTTCAAAACGCAGCGGTACAGGGGATAATACCCGATCGAGGTCAAGAATACCGGATCGGGTATTTTTGCTCTCTGACCAGGACCCCTTCTGTTTCTAGACGTCCAAAATCGATTTTCCCCGGCCTCTCTTAGCGATTTACCCGGCCGGGTATTATTACTCATGGCCGGGTATTTTGCTCCTCCAGCCCCCTTCAACTCAAACGTCCTCCTTTTGACCCGAAACTCGTTTCCTCGCCTTAACGTCAACGCCAAGCCCGGAAATATGACATAAACACACAACCTAGCGTGAAATCGGCTTAAAACACGAGAATCTCTTCTCCAACGGTTCAAGAATAGGGGTATAAACATGTGTAATTATTGGTCTATCAGAATGCTGAATCGATGCCATCTCACCTGCCACATAAGCCAAAAAGCAACCAAACTTTACACCGTTATCTGTTAGACCTCGCTGCTATAGTCTTCTCTATTGGCGATTTGGTTAGATTCAAGCTTTTTTTTTTTGTTTGAGATTCAAGCTTGGTATCACCATGGCGCCGACTACATGGAAGCCGTCGAGTAAAAGGGAGGCAATGGTTGGGGATTGTGGTTGGAATCGAAATCTGGGCTTGGGGTAGGGTTATTTGGTGGTGGAGGCGTTGATCGGAGGAGGATCAATGGTTATCGGGCGTGTTTCTGGGTTGGATTTTTAGTCTCGCTGTCTGTAGTTTTTAGTGTTTTTAATTTTTTTTCTCTTTTAATCCACGTCATTCAGTGGGGTCAGAAACACGCCAACTAAGCATCCACCGTCTGTTCATCAAGTTAACTGACGGAGTGGACGGAAATGGATATTTCGTGTATTTCGATAGTTGTGGATATATTTGTCACAAACTTGATAGTGGTGGATATATTTGTCACAAACCTGATAATTGTGGATATACGTCTGTATTTTGCCTTTATTCAACTAGCCTATTTGGCATCTACGTGTAAAGTTTGGTTGATTTTTGGCTTATGTGGCAGGTGAGATGACATCGATTCAACATTTCGTTAGTCAATTTAACGCCGTCTAACACGCCATTATAGTTTCAGACGGAAAGTGGATAGATTTGTCACACAACCTTCCGATTTTTGAATATTTCGTGTATTTCGATAGTTGTGGATATATTTGTCACAAATGTGATAGTTGTTGATATACCGCTGTATTTTGCCTAAAGTAAAACAAAAGAAGACTTTATTACATGCCTCGTACTGTTTGTGGGTCGGACAATTCCACGAATCCGGATGTGACAAATTTGTCGGACCAATCAATGAGGAAGAAAATTGATTCTGTACTGATTACTAAACCTGCCCTTTTTGGTTGAGATAAGATGCCCTATGTCAGGATTCAGAAGGAATGGTGGGATCTTCAACAAACAGCTTAATCCAAATCGGATTTGCTATGCATAATTGCATACTTTAGTGCTATCAGATTTGTATCATAGCATAATTTCAACCTCTAAATTTAGCAGTAGGGTCTCACTTATTAAAGATTGGGGGACTGTTTTGGGCACTAATAATGTTCCTGTCAATATCAAACCAGAACTATAACTGGTAAAAGGCTGACAAAACTATACAGCAACTAACCGATAAAGATTTCTTTTTCGATTCATCCCTGGAGTTGAATACCTCATTCAAGAATTGTTTTTATCTCCAATATGCAGTAATAAGTTCTTTTACTGCCTTACTTCTCAACTTCGCCTATTTGGTTTTAAGGGTATATGCATTATTCAAAAAAAAATGTCGCGCATTTGATCTAACGACTGAAAACGCACATGCGAAACAATTGAACGGTGTAAGCAAGATCATACATCTCATCTGAAAGCATTCTATCCATGTTCCTTCTTGCTAACATCAAGAGTCGAGAGACATAAACATCGCTTGACCATTAACTGAACTTCGGTTCCATCTTGAAGAAGCTAGAATCAGGAACCTGACAACCTCATAGTAAGAGACCATTTCAGTTCTACAGACTAGATACCTTCACAGACATAAATTGCTTAGGCAGAGATCATATTCACAAATTTCTTCTTTCTGCTTCATGCCCTTGAATCAAGTACAGCACTTTTCTTTCATGTTTCCTTTCAAGTGGGAAGTAAAGATAAGCCAGGTTTTGCAGTATAGACATAGATAGACAAGGGCTTCAGCCGTACTGAATGTAATACTACCAGATCGTTTATGACAGTACTAAACGGAGGATCTCCCCAGAATGCTTGAATGACTTCTCAGTTTCTTCTAAACAATGGTTCTTCTCTTCTCTGGTCCAGTTCTGCAGCATTTCCATAAACGAACATAATTTCAGTTAAAGAGTGGCTGTAAAATCCTGGAATTTGTAAAGAAACTAATACTACATAGCAAAATGAAATCACCTCCGCGACTTTATTCAACTTGTCCCTGACATTCTGCAGAATTTGCGAAAGATCCCCCTCCCATTTGTAGAATTCCAACTCTTTATTATTGAGTATCTTTTCAGCCACCTAAAACCATAGAAAGTTGACAAGACATGTATAAGTGTTGCCGCAAGCAACATCTCAGCTAATTTGATAGCTTCACACAAAAGAGAACCAGGAAACATATTTAATTGCACTCCACAAAAGCTAAACAGCAGCTGAAATCACCATAGAGTTTGATCA